CATGAAGTGCTTGCGTTCTTTGCAGTGAGCTATAACCTCTTCATTTTTTATCTTTAGTTAAGTGTAACCTATCTTACTATGCTGAATCTCATATTTTGTAGACCAGAAAAATAAGTAGAAAGGGAGGGAGGAAGGGTTGGGATGCATGGTGATGGAAAGAAACCACCTGACATGAATTTTGACTGATTAGTCACTATTACATTTACTAAAGTAATATTATGGATACTCTTTCTATTTTCTCACTTTATGCTACTGGATGCTCTTGATCGATGACCTTATGAGTATTTTTGCCCTTTTTTTAGTCCTTGTAAGTAAATATTGATACATGATAAGTACAGTCAATATTTAACATTGAAAGCTAATGGACATTAGGATAAGTTAACGTTTGCTCACTTTTACACCAACTTTGATAATGTTATGAATATTTTTATCCCTTTATCTATTTTTTTAATATAAAATTTAAAAAAATCTTTCATTTAATACTTTATTTATGCAAAATATTAAAAAGAAAGATTATATAAAAAGAATAATATTAAAAAATATTATTAATAAGACTTTATTTTTATACCATTGAATCTCTTACAAAATACTCCCTCCGATTCACTTTATTAGTCACCTTCTAGAAGGATGAAGTGGTCCACTTTATAAGTTATTAGATTACTAGCGATATTTTATTTTAAATAAAATGTCTAAACTATCTTTAAAAAGTAAGAATGAGAGAAACAAAAAATGATATTATATATTTTATTTACTTTTTAAGAGTTATGATTATAATTTTATTAAATTTTATTCTTTATAATTGATATTGATGGGGTTAGTAAAAATAACTTATAAATTAAATCAAAGGAGTATGTTTTGGTATTAAATAAAGCCATCCATTTCGTCCCCATCTCTGATCTCTCTATTGCCGTGACGACCAACTATTGATGAATATAGAAGCATAGTTCACATAGTTTAGCTAACTTGATAGTAAAGTCAGGAATTCAGGTCGAATAAGCCTGAACCCAAATAGGCTCGCTATTTTTATAAGCCCAAATTAACAAGCCCAGCTCGAATTATTTCAGGCTTTAGGCTAGCCTGAATACTCGTTTAATATATTTTTTTGGTGTGATTTTGATGATTTTTTCCCACCTAATTGCACCAAAATAATAATCCAACATGCATTCATTGGTACTATTTTTTTTAACCATCTAAGCTAACAAAGCAAGAGCAAGTTCACCATACTAGTTTAACATCTAAAATAAATAATCCAACAAAATAACAACACATTCAACATGACATTAAAGTTAAAACATAACAATAATCAACAATACAAATAAAAGTCAAGCTAAATCCAAATCCTATGGCTCTTCCTGTTCCTCATCATCATCCAAAACTACATTTGCACTCTCAATGGCAGACAAATCCGTATTTAAATTTGGTTCAAGTGATTCCTCCTCTTCCTCTCCTTCCCCCTCTCCCTTTCCTTCTTCCTCTTCCACTACCTCTTCTCACTCAATCCTCTCTTTCTCTTCACTATCTGCAACAAGACAACAGAGGAAAATTTTTTCAATTATAATTGAATGAAATCAAATTTTACTTAATAATTATATAACAAAATAATCATATATTTTAAATTTATATTACCATCATATTGAAAACCACTTAACTAATTACGAGTGCAAATAAGAGCTTGAAAATTAGAAGGAAGAAGACTGTTTCGGTATTTGGTGAGAACATGTGAGCTAATGCTAAAAGTCAATTCACTTGCTACTGTAGTGATAGAAATGCTAGGGATATCAGCTGCCATCTTTAAAAGGATAGGAAATCTACCCTTATTAGTGTTCCACCAATTGAGAACATCTAAATCTTGATATGCTTGGGGTTGAAGTATTGCCTCATCTAAATAAAATTCAAGCTTAGACTTTTCAACAGACATAACATTCATGCTTGTATAATTAATCCAATCCTGCAACATGTAAAAATTTAATAAAATACCAACTAAAAAAATAAAATAAAACAATAAAATTAATAATAACATGAAATTAAACTTACATCTAAAACTCCTGGAATATTGCTACTCATGGTTGAAGCTGAAACACTAGAAGTAGTGGAGGATTGAGCTTGATTTGCTTGCATTGGAATCGTTGAACTTAATCTAAGATCTGAGAAAAGAGCATCCATCTCTTTATATTGATTAAAAATATATCTCAACTTGCTTTGAACGCTCCCAATCTTGGCAGGGCAATTTATAGGATCAATCCTTGCATACATGTATTGTATCATTTGAATCTTCATTCACGGATCAAGCATAGCTACAATTGCAAGGATAGTATTATAATCATTCCAATACTTGTCAAATTTTTCTTTTATTTTTTGAGCCATTTCTTGTATCACGAGATCACCATTTACCATAGTATCATTTAACAAGATCCGAATCTTTGATACTTGAGCGAAATACAAGGTCGAAGTGGGATAAGATGTCCCAAACATCAACCTTGTCATCACATAAAATGGCCTTAAGAAATTACACATCTATTCTCCTCTCCTCTACTCTTCATATGTTAGGCAATGGGTAAAATTATTATCAATAAATGCAAAGCTAGTAAAAGTTCGACAATATTGTAATCCACTCTTGAGCATTGTTCCATCTAGTGGGCATATTCATCCTCAAGCTAATTGAACTATCAATGCCACCAACCTCTTCAACACATTTTTGAAAGCAATTGCCCTTGCTTCTGATTGTTTAACATACTTAATGCTATCTCTAATCTTGTTTAGAGCAACGCTTGTCACTTTTAAGCCCTCTTGAACTATTAAATTTAAGATATGAGCATAACACCTTTGATAAAAAAATTTTCCATTATAAATCAACCCATTATCTTGCAAAACTAACCTTTATTTCAAAATTTCTTACATATTATCATTTACAGAGGCATTTCTAAAGTGATAGAAAATACTTTCTTAGTAATCCCCCAATCAATCAAACAATCACAAACTTTTTTAGCTAATTCTTTTTCGAAATGTAGAGGCTCCATCTTATAAAAAGAAAGTATTTTACTATTTAATCTCTAATTTTCATCAACAAAATGAGCAGTCAAGCATAAATAACCTTCAGAGGTTATAACAGTCCAACAATCAAATGTTAAACAAATTCTACCAATATTTTTCAACAATCTTTACTTCAATGCCTTTTTCTGCCCTTGATAGACTTTTATAACATCAGACATAGTGTTTTTAGTGATGCACTTTACACTTGGATTCAACATTAAAGAATAATACTTGAACCATTTATATTCAACTATGAAATAAGGCAAATCATTTTCAATTATCATCATAGATAAAACCTCTCGCACATGCTTATCATTAAGCTTTCTAGGCCTCAATTTTCCTTCTCTATCTATCATCATCACTCTAATATCATGATACTTAGCAAGTTGAGGATAATTTTTAGCATGTCATGCTAAATGAGATGTGCCATTAACCCTAGATCCTGTTAGGTTTTTGTTACAACTATTACACTTGGCTTTTACTTTCCTATCAATTACAATTCTAGAAGATGACTTCCAATCATTAGATGTACAAGTTTTTGATTTTTTAGCAACAAGTGGCTTCACTTCTTTCTCAGAACTTATTCTTTTACTAGAATTACTAGAACCAACAAACTTATTACTTGAAGAGGCAACAAATTTCTTACTTGCTGAGGAAGCTGATTTAATTGTAGAGGCAAGTAATTTTTGCTCATTGCTTTTTTGAGAGAGAAAAATATCAACTACTTTACCTTGCCACGCACGTTATCATCTACCTTACTATTAGAACTACCACCCACATTTTCATTTGTTTTCTTCCTTTGACTACAAGACATGTTTCACTGCATAAAATTGGAAATTAAATATCAATTTAACATACCATGCATCTATGCCTTTATTAAAAGTTAACACAACCAGAGGCAGTCTCAGATAGCTTAAGATATTCAATTTCACATAACAACACAACCATTGAAATTCACGCAGAGGCAGTCTCAAATAGCTTAAAAATAAGCTTAAGCAAACACAACCAGAGGCAGACTCAGAGGCAAAGCTAACTTAAAAACAATCTCAAGTAAACACAATCAAAGATTGATCAAGCAATCAAGCAAACAATGAGCATGCCATTAGATATCGAAATAGAGCAGAGATTTCAGTCTTGACTCTTAAGCAATCAAACAGATTGAAACAGAGCATGTCAGTATGCATGAGAGAAAAAGAGAGAAGAAGAGAAAGAAAACCTTACTAGTAGGTTCTGCTGTTCTGGTCTAGACAAAGCTTGTTGTGCTAGGGGGTTCTGGTCTGAACAAAGCTCATTCTGCCAGTGGGTTCTAATCTTTCTAGTATGGATGAAGCTCGAGTATGAGACAGTGAGAGATTGCAATCGATTGTGTAGTTTGAGAGAGATTGAGAGTGTGACTATGCGAGTAGGCCAATGAAGTCCGGTGAGGAAGAGGAAGCAATGACTGCCGATGGGTCTGGTCTTCTTCTTTTACAGCCTTCAAAGTTTAGCTTTAGGTAGTTTAGTGTAAGGAGAACTGGAGAAGCAAGACAGTGATTCAGTGAAGACGCTCACTGGATCTGATGATTCAGAACGTGCTTTGACTTCAATCAACCGATATCTCGATGGCTCGAAACTTCAAACGAGAAACAGAGAAAGCAATTTTAGGCTTTAGGGTTTTTTTAGCTCTTGCTGTCTCGCCTCGCGTCTCACTCTCAGCCTCTCAAGTCTCACCTCACTATCTAGACCTTAGCCCTCACCTCACTCACTCATGACTTATTTCTTGGTGTTAGCGTGTCTGCTTTTGTAGTAAGTAGCTGGCGCCATTTTTTTTAAAAAACAAAATGAGTATTTGGGCTTATTCGGATGGCCTGAATAGGCTCGAAGTATCAGTTTTTTTCTAAAATGTTAAGTACACTTAAATTACTGGCTATATATATATATATATATATATATATAGAAGAGAGATTGATGGGCTCGGTAAAATCGGAAACGGTAAAATCGGAAACAGTGAGGCAGCCTTTCTGCATTAGTCAAGGGCAGAGGGAGGCATGGATTTCGCAGATTTGAGAAGAGCTGTAGAGGAGGTTGAGCTTGTCGACGCTCACGCTCACAGCATAGTTGATCTTAACTCCAACTTCGCTTTCATCCATGCCTTCTCTGAAGCCTATGGTGATGCCATTTCTTTCGCATCACACTCTTTATCATTCAAGGTACTCCATCCTCACTCCCTCTCCTGTTATTCGCAACCATCATCGCCATCTGGATCCAACTGGCCTGATTCATGACTTGCCTCATGCGTATGGAAGACAATCCCGACTTTTTAGCTTCCACATTGTCAAGTCTGATAAAAAAATCCCGACTTAAATGATTCAGTTGACGGAAACAAAAGGATTTGTAGTTTCCAATCGACCGAGCTCCAATTAGAAAACTCGGCTGCGGCTGGTAAGAACCGGCCATGGGAGGCCCCTTTCTGAGACCATATGCCCAAAGAGAGTGGTATCACTATCCAACAGACTAGCTTATTGGGTGGGAAAGCTCTCACATTTATAAATCTTTCACCACTTGTGAGACTCTCGATGTGTGACTTGTGACGTATGACTTTAAAATGAAAACCGGAATCATCTTTGTACTATCGGTCAATAACGAATTTTCCTACGGCCTTGCACAATATTGAGCGCCCATGTAAAACAGATAACTGTAAATAACATGTTAATGTTACATTCCGGTTCGTTTTTTGTTTTGACATTGGGAAGTCAACATAATTGTAATCGTGTTATTATGTCAATCAAGCCACAAAACATGATAAACTGATAACCCGAGGTTTGGATTTCCTTATCAGAGTTGAATAGTAACTGGAAATGAAGTTGAAGGGAAAGAATAAAGGAATGCGTTCTAGCATGTTCTGTAAATTTTGTGAAAGTAATTGATTATGTGTGCTGTGATTTCTACTTGCATCTCTGCTGCATCAGTTCTTGTTGAGCCATGCTTCAGGATTTCTAGCGTGTTACTATATTTTATGGTGTTTCAAATTGAAACTCAACACTCATTCATGAGTCCCCAGAATAATGATTGACCTCGTTCTATGGATTTTTCATGAAGTATGGGTCCGATTTCCTTGAGTCAGATGATTTACCAGTCTCATGTTAAACTGCATGCAGCATTTGTGGTTCAATTCCCAGTTCCACCTTACAATTTATATATACTAGTGTTATGGAATGGAATTTGCTTGAGAACTTTCAAATTATTTTGATTGACATCTAATCTGTGATCAAATTATGCAATAACAGAGAAGTTTAAGAGAAATCGCTGAACTCTATGGATCCCAATGTTCTCTGCAAAGCGTGGAAGAATACCGAAGGGTCTCTGGATTGCAATCCATCTGTGCTACATGCTTCAAAGCTGCAAAAATCTCTGTCATACTCATTGATGATGGGTTAGAATTGGATAAAAAGCATGATTTAAGGTGGCATGAGAGTTTGACACCTCTTGTTGGTAGAATCTTAAGAATTGAGCGGTTGGCCGAGAAAATTCTTGATGAAGTGAGATGCTAAGATTTTCACTTTTGATCTGAAGTTGCATAATTGTTGGGCTTTTGATCTGAAATTGCATAATTGCTGGCCATCTTATATTGTTTTTAGGCATTATATTGTTCTTTATTCTGCTTTCTCTGTTTTAACTGCATAATGAACAATGTCAGATACAAGCTTTTCTCTATTTTGTGTTTATGTTATTGTTTACTAGCTAAAATTCCAGTAAGGTATTATTTCATGTTTAGTTTACTTTTACATGGTCATTTTTTTTTTTGGGGGTGGGGGAGGGGGACAACATTCTTTTCTTTGTTGACTGCAATAATAAAGTTAAAAGAATATTGCCCTTCTTGTAATTTTCATTACAAGAGTTTGTGCAATCAGGTCATAAAAATTCATAACAGACTAGAATTTGAGGAGGAAAGTCTAATGTCATTGGTAGTACTGTCCTAGGAGCATTGTAAAGCAGAAATTTTGTAGGCGAATTACTCTTACGCATGCTTTCATTCCAAACACATGAAATATTGTAATTTGGTTTCAACTTTTATTTGTTTTCCCTTCTTGCATTTGTAATTGTAGTCATACTGTTTGTTTCTAAGCCATGCTTTCGGCCATTTTCTATTTATTTCATGACATATTCTGAAATCTTATGTCACTTTAGGCATTGACAGATGGATCTAATTGGACATTGGATAAGTTCACTGAAGCATTTCTCTCAAAGTTGAAATCATATCCTTTGCAAAATCAATCTCTTTTCTTAATTGATATATAGTTGCATAAATGATTCACCAGTTTGGCTGGACTCCTTAGCATTTTTTTCCTACTGTTGCTGGTGAGATCTTTGGATTGAAAAGTATTGCTGCATATCGTAGTGGTCTTGAAATCAATACGAAAGTGACAAACAAGGCTGCGGAGGAGGGTCTCACTGAAGTGCTAATTGGTGAGTATGTAAGTTGCTTTCAAAATGATGTAATGCTGGATATTCCTAGTCATAATTCCTTATTTTCAGCTGGGAAGCCTGTCCGCATAACAAGCAAGAACCTTATTGATTACATCTTCTTGCAAAGTTTGGAAGTTGCTCAGTCCTATGACTTGCCAATGCAGATACACACAGGGTAATGGATAGTTCTTAAATTTCTGATGCTTCAGCATATTCTCCCATTGATAGCCAAATATTTTTCAGGGAATGGATGAGTTTTAAAAACGGGTAGTCTAAGTCAGTAAAACCTGAGTTCATTAAAATTTCTTGTAAACAACTGGACTTCAGTTAATAAGGTTTCTTGAACTGTCTTGTATTTGGCAGTGCGTGTGTTGTGGAAGTGCAGTAGTCCATGCTTTGTCCACTTTTAGGATTTACCAAAAATCTTGTTCATCAAGGTTGCAGTTTCCTTTGCTATTTACTGCATTTTGGTAAATACCATATTAAGCATCCCGTGCTACTCAAGTGGGGTGGGAAACCATCCTCCTAAAAGCTAGTTATTGAGATGAAAGAACTAATCCATTTAAATACCCCATTGAGTATCCCAAACTACTAGATGTGTGACTTAGGCATCCCATGCTACCTTGGTTTCAATCAATACACGTTTCACTTTTAACTAATGTACTATAAATTAAAATATTAATTTTTTTTTTTGTAGCTTTGGGGATAGTGGGATAAAGGCTTGTTGTTGTTGTTGTTGTTGTTGTTGTTGTAGCTTTGGGGATACAGATTTGGATATGACACTATCCAATCCTCTTCATCTCCTTGCAGTTCTCGAAGACAAGAGATATTCCAAGTGTCGTATAGTTCTTTTACATGCATCCTATCCTTTCTCAAGGGAAGCATCATATCTAGCCTCTGTTTACACCCAGGTAAATGTTAGATGACTCTGTAAATCATATTAGTACATATCTAATTTGGATAACAGGTTCCCTGGAATTGTAAATAATACAATTTTTTTCCTTCAGGTGTATCTCGATTTTGGGCTGGCAATTCCAAAGTTTAGTGTTCATGGAATGATATCTTCAGTTAAAGAGCTATTAGAGCTAGCTCCAACAAATAAGGTGACAGTATACGCAGTCATAATATGAGAGCACTGTGCACTGGGTATAGAAAATAAGAATTTCCATGCACTAGTAGGATAGAAAATTCAGGTGTAGCATATGGAATTAATTTTAGAAGTTTATACTTCATAATCTATAGTTTATAGCCTCAATTTTTATAACTTTTAACGTTTATGTTAGGTTGTCTGAGTAAGGAAGTCAAAAGGCAATCATTTCTTTCTTTGCATATTTATCCTGCTTCCTGGGTTGTTCACCCTTTCACTTCGTAAAAACTTCTGTACTATCTAAAGTGAAACTTCAGTTATTTTTATCTCTGGCTATGTTATTGCACACTCTGCACTGGCACACACATGGCAATATGGCATGTGGAGTTGTATTTTTGCTCTGTGCTGGTGACATTTAATGTCTTGCTTCAATAACTTGCAGGTGATGTTCAGTACTGATGGCTATGCATTTCCTGAAACATTCTACTTAGGTTGGTTGGCATCATTAGCATTTATTCTTTATACTCCATTTACTATAATACTTATTTCTTTGTTTTAAATACTTTTCTTCTTCTTTTTGACATCTTGCTTTGTTTTGAATTGTCTCATCACTTTGTCATGGTTTGTCTGCCCTCTTGCCTTAACATTTATCCTGATTCTTGGGATTTGTCTTGACATCTAAGCTTAGAAAATTATGGTCCACGCATACATAAATGCGGACCAGGGGTTTGAAAAGGAGAAATATGCTGGTGGCTTACTGACAATAATTCTGTTTCAATTTATTTCTACATTTGGCAACCTGGGATTCCTATTTACTGTTGGGGCATGTGTCCCATTTCTGTATCAATTATACAAGATTACATAATTGGAAAGGGGGACCTAATGAAAACTGGATTCGTGTCATTAGTGAGAAGGTGCAGGCCATATATAGAGGGACCATGCCTATGAATCAACCACCGGAATCCTATGAGATAAGCAAATTAAAGAGATATAACATGCATTAAAGGATATCACAGAAAATCAGAGCGCTGAAAATGAAAACAAACTAAGTCAACTTGATCCTATGAGATCTGGACATGATGTCACAGATTTCAAAGAGAGTTGAGCCTAATGACTATAATCACCACTGCACCCCCTCTTCAAGTTGAGGGTAGATGGTACCCATCTTGACTCCAAGCTCTTTAAGTCTACTCAATCAAGGAAGGCCATCGTCAGATCACATCATCAGCTACTTGCAATTTGGTTGGACTGTTGGAGTGTAATTGAGTTCAAGTAATCCAGAATCGAATTTTTGAGTCAAAGAATGTCAGTCAGTAAGATGTACGTAAAATAGTGCATATTCAGGCCACCCTTTGCTGTGTCTGTTGTCCAAAAAATTATGGGCCATTGACGTCCTAGTAACATCACTAATTTAAATGCAATATGTTTTGTATTTATAAATGTAAAAGATGATTAGATCTCTTTCATATGTCACCTGAATAATATTATCAATCATATAACCTACAATCTTGGCCCTAGAAATTTCTACCTCCTCCCTGCCTCAATACTTGAGGGCCAAACATGGCTGATTGAAATAATTTTTGTTTTTTTAATTTGACAGGTGCAAAGAAGTCTCGTGAAGTTGTTTTCTCTGTTTTACGTGATGCATGCATTGATGGTGTTCTCTCAGTTCCCGAGGCTGTGGAAGCTGCTAAAGACATCTTTGCACGAAATGCAATCGACTTTTACAAGATTAAATCAGCCGTTGGTACTGTAACTTCACACAACAACTTGTCCCAAAAGTCAAATATTGCCTTAGAGTCTGAATTGTCACTTGTTCGTCTGATCTGGGTCGATATTTCTGGACAGCATAGATGCCGTGTGAGTTTACGTCAAGCCTATTTCTATCATTTTCTCATTCCTGTCCTACATAGGAACCTTACATTTGGGAACTTGAGGAGAAAATTTGAGAATGTTTACTTGCTGACTTAGAAAGCTTACAATTGTAGTATGAGACAAGCAATTCGGGATTATGTTTACAAATGCAATAAACTTGATAAGGAAAGTCAACTGTCCATGGTCCTCACAACTAGGCTGCTATTCATAATGCTTGATTGTCCTATCTGGTTCAATGGTAAAAATTCCTGTTTTAGATATTTGTAAGGAAACAAAGTAATTTAACTATCTTTTAGAAAAAGTTTGCCATAATTTTGCATCATGCGGTCACATGCCAGTTTGACTGTTGCCTATTTAAGTGATTGTATCATTTCCTGAAATAGATGTCTTCTCGGACAAGTTAATATCCAAAATATTCGTTCTTGAGTTACATCTTTGATAAGTTGTACGAGCAATCTTTGAAAATGGAGGAATGCTTGAATCCTTGCATATTGAGGGGAGACATTTGAATAAACATTTTAGGGTTAGATTGCTTATAAAACTGAAACCGCAGTTCATGTTCACATTAATGTAGAACAAGGATTTCGTTAGACAATTTCAGCACATTTTCTTCTTCTTATTCTCTTCATGAATAAGTAATCGACTGTGAACCTAATCAGTGACTGTGAGGGTAGATTGATACAGTTCCTTGAAGTATGTAACGGTCATATAACTGGATTTTGATTTCCAATAGTTTCCTATGGATTTCAGATACTCTGTCCGGCTGTTTCAGCATAATGAAGTGTCTTTTATTGTTATATACATGACAATAAAAGACAAGTAACGCTCATTAGTTTTAGCATATGATGGGCCTGACATTCGTTTTGACCATGTTTACAAGAGGAAGGGTACTAGAAAGGGCCCAAAGCCCAATCAGCATACAGTGAACAGTATGGAGGCAGTTATCTAGGGTAGTGTGCCCTAGGTAGAGGTTATGCAGACTTTGGTTTTGCTCATGGGAGAGATCCTGCCCTCTCGAACGACAGGAGTGTTTCATTTCTGTTGCATTTAGCTACTGTTTGTGCTTGTGCTCTGTTTTGTCATTGTAATTGACTATAGTTAGTTATATTGTAATTGACTATAGTTAGTTACTTTTTCAGTTTTCCTCTTCCATTTTCTCCATTGAAGAGGTTGTAACTAACTTGTTTTGAAGTTAACCAGTGATATTTTTCCCAGTTCCGTCAGCATAACATCTTCAAAAAGAAGTGAAAATATATTCATGATTAAAGAAGCAAAATTAAGAAATGCAATAAATCCTCATTGCAAAGTGGCAGTGAACATGAGCAATTGATGCTGGGTCATTAATGAACAGAATTTGTTGTCACGATAGTAGCTACATTCTTATTGTTCCATCATGCTTTCCCTCCCTTTTTACCACTCACATTAGAATGAGTATGTTATAGTATTTAGGAATAATTCTTCCAGATCTGCAAAAGGTTAATTTCGACTCTGCTTGGAATTCTTATTATTCAAGCTATTCACAAGATGCTGCTAGTATTTGTTTCAGGTTGTTCCAGGAAAGCGTTTTAAAGATGTTGTTAAGGAGCATGGGGTTGGTTTGGCAAGTGCTTGTATAGCAATGCCTTCTTATCTAGATACAATGGTAGAAGGGTCTGGTTTGAGTGCAGTCGGTGAAGTAACCCTAATGCCTGACTTGTCTACAAAAAGGAAAATCCCTTGGTACTCCGTTTTTTACTTCATGAGATTTTCTGATATTTTATATTTAACTGGTCTTGCAAATTGTGATTTATTTTCAATTTTTCACCCAAAATTGTGTGTGCATCCCCTATTTATCTTGAAGTGAAAGATAATGAAAATCTCAATGCAAAGTAACTTTTTGCCAAATGGAGGCAGTAATATAATAATTACAAGACAAGCATTTTGAAATCTTCACTTCTCCCTTTATTTTATTGATACGTTAGTTTCTTTGGCCAGCTATTGTTACGTCGAAGAATGACATTCAAAGAACCTGCAACTCATGACATGCACAGTTATTTTGCGTTGGGCATTTATAATTGTGAAAGCTTTTGCATTCCATAACATAATTCGAATGAAGTTCCCTAAACATTACATTTTGTGTTTGTGGGTGGGTGAAATTCACTCATTTTATTTTATGAGAATTCAAGAGTAGTCTAATTTGATTAGTATTAGTATCCCATATTCATCTCTTTCTTCCTTTTCTTTTATCAATTCTTAGCATTACTGAACTTAGTCATAATTTTTATTCATTTCAAGATGTATTAGTTTGTCTCGTTATTCTATTCTACGAGCTATTATTTTGTATTTGATTACTACCGAATTCGTTAACTTCTTTAACATTGCAACTTCCATATCCACAGAATTCTTCTTCTTCTTCACAAAAACCACCAAAGGGTTCGTGAAAATTTGTAACTCGAGATTATCTTCTTGAGCTGATGGATTTAATCATTAAGCTGTTGCAACTCTTTTCTGTGACAGGAGAAAGCAAGAGGAGATGGTTTTATGTAATTTGCAAAATAAATCAGGTGAAGCATGGGAATATTGCCCAAGAGAGGCCTTAAGAAGAGTTTCAAAGATTCTGAAAGATGAATTTGACTTGGTATGTTGTAAAGCTAGTCTTAGTTGTGATGTACAATGTTGTTTAATGTTTGAACCTATGTTTCCAGGTAGTGAATACAGGGTGAATTTTATCTCTTGAAGAGTATAACTAGGTATTAAAATTAATGCTCTTCTTATTCATAAAAAAGATAGTACTCTTTCATGATCTAATGATTGAATTGTACCGTGAGAACTGATTAAAAAAGTGAATAAACAAAAATTGTTTAGGGAAGGGAAAGAAGAATGGGTGCCGATTGACTCAACTCATTACTCCTCCACATCAGCGTTTGATGCCACATCCCCCATTTTTTCATGATGTCATTGCTGCTCTTCATTCCTTGGGTATTTTAGTGGAACAGGTAAAAGAAAAAAAAAGGAATTTATAGCATCATCAGTTGTAAATATATATATGATGAAAACCTTTTTTTATGAGCATTAGTGTTATATTTTTATCTGAAGTGTCTGTAGCTTATGATTTGAATTGTGTATCTACTTCATTATTTATGAAAAGTTATCAAGGGAAAAGGAAGGAAATTTGAGCTTACCTTCTCACAATTATGACGAATAGTTCCAGTGGAGTTCTGTTTGTTGGAGGACCTGGAATTAGTTTTAAAGGTAAAATAACCTCTTGGCCTTGAGATCTAGATTGGCCACTGTCTAAACATCAGGTAAACAGAATTTCTCTGAATCCTGTGTCAACTATAATATAGTGATGTAGGACCGGAACCAAAAGATAACAGGAGCCCAGGATTTTACTTCTGTACCACCAAGAATGGAACAAAATCGCTAACAGAACTCCTAAATTGGTTACTAAATAAAATAACGCTCTATATCAACATGTACAAATTCACACAAGGATTCTATAATTCACCTAAATTAGTTTATGTAAACAGGCTTGATAAGATTTCAATTTCTTTTAACCTTAGCCTAGTTACAGGCTCTGAACTGTTCTAATGATCATTAGCGAGATACCTCCAAAAAGAAAATATATCCATATTGCTGAACCAATGCCTCCTACTCCGTCTAAAACATGGATCGTGTTAGATTACTGTGCCAAACCAAGGTTCCGAGAAGGACTGTCACCATACAGAACGTGCCAAATTAATGCTAATTTTTAAATTAGCATTTGGTTGTTCTTTGTAGGTCATCTGCAATTCCTCTCCTGAGGTTGTAATTGGTGGCCCTCATCTTCTGACTCTTTTTTGCCTCCCCTTTTCTATATATTTAAGATACATGCAGAAGCTGGAAAAGGTCAATTTGAAGTTATTCAGAGCTATTCGACTTGTACTGAAGCTGCTGATGAGTTAATCTACACTCGCGAGGTTATTAAGGCAATTGCAAGAAAGCATGGGTTGCTGGCAACTTTTATGCCGAAGTAAGAGTGGAAATTCTTTGAGTTCAACTATAATTATCTTGCCAATCTATTTTGGAGGATGCTGAAATTTAAGGCTAAATCAAAGGGGCTAAAGAAAGGCATTCTACTTCAGCCTTATGTACCTTTTTATAATATTTTGAAAATATAATTTAACTACAAGAAAAACTTCCATAGATAAAGATAACTGGTAACTATACAACAGTTAGGCCCCCTATGCCATATAAGGCCCGGTAAGATAGTAGAATCTAATGCAACCAATGCTCATATTATATTTGGGGGTGTACAAACGTTAGTATAAGCTTATTCATTCAGAGCTTCTTTTACAATTACCTCTACTATCTGCCAAGGAAGGGTGGGATAAGCCATGCTGGCAAATTTTGTACATTATCTTTAGAAGCAAATTTGTTTGTGTATTTATTTACTAACACACATACCTAGTAATATTTATGTCAATAAAATATTGTTTTCATTTTATCATCAAGCACAATGATGTTAATGCAACAGACAAAGTGGTTATAAGGTGGATCTAGTATACAATACTTCCCAGTGCTACCTATACTATTAGCTCTCACCCTACAAAGCTGTGCCAAACATGCCTTGTAATAATAAATTCTAAACCCTTTTAACAGTTCCATGTAGTTTGTTGCTGTTACTCTGTAGTAAGATATATAGGCCTCTCAAAGGGAAAGGTAGCATAGGAGTCCAACTAGAGTGGCATATAATACATGCAGCTTTTGAACTCTCTTTGGTTGCTTCAAGTGAATGCTAAGAAATATATATTTTGCGTATGTATAACAATGTTCTCTTGTAATATTGAAGGTGCTTTTTAGATGACATTGGCTCTGGAGTTCATGCGCATCTTAGCCTGTCACATAATGGTCAAAACGTCTTTATGGCATCAGATGAGTCGTTTAAATATGGAATATCGGCTATAGGAAAGGAATTCATGGCAGGAGTTCTGCATCATCTTTCTTCACTTTGGGCATTTATAGCACCGCATCCTAACAGGTTGCTCTTCATAATAGTAGTCCATGATTATCTTATCATATGAGCATTTTATTTAATTATTTATTTTTAAAATTTCAGTATGTTCATAATTTTGCTCTCTCTCATTACATGGTTGATTAAGAACTAGCAACGCTGATTAGATTGTTGGCGGTGGACCCAACTGCACACAATCTAATCCTCTGTATTGAACTTGTTTTCGGACCATGAAAGAGAAAAAGCAGAATATGATTAGAAATTGATGATATTGCTGAAACGGGAACTTGAGCGGTTGAGACTTGAGCTTGTGAACTTTCAGATTCCATTCTTTTATTCCATGTCAATTGTTAAAAAGATAAAGCTTATAATGATTTATTTAATTATGTATATTAATGATAGAGAACCGCCACCTTCTCTGTCCTTCTTCGGTACTTGATGTTTTCGTATTAGCTCTGTCTTTTTGTGATACTTAGCCCTGTCATTGGTACATACATAACTTGTGACTCTATTGGTCTTAATTTGTAAAGCGTAGGTTGATTCATTATGAGTAATTCCCTAGATATCTGTTTGGAAATTGAAAATAGGAATTTTTCCTTTAGGAATGTAGAATTTATCTAAAGTTACGTGCTTTTGAATAGTTGTTAAGAGTTTTTTTTTTTTCTCTTATGATTTGCATGTAGGAATTTATATCGAAAATATTGTTCTAAAAAATTAACCAGCAAAAGGGGAACCAAAGAAAAGGAAAAACGTTAATCTCTGTAGGTTGCAATGTCCACGCTTAATCCCTGTGCATCCAAAATATTGTTGCATGGACTATCTTATCCTGCATGGTTGCTTAGCACTTCTTTCTTCCTTGTAGTTACCATCGTCTTCAACCCAATACATGGAGCGGTGCATTCAAGTGCTGGGGAAATGAAAATAAAGAGGCCCCAATACGAGCTGCATCTCCACCTGGAGTTCCTGGTGGTCTAGTGAGTAACTTTGAGATTAAATCATTCGATGCTACTGCGAACCCTCATCTAGGCTTGGCTGCCATGATTGCTGCTGGAATTGATGGGCTTCGTAGGCACCTTTCTCTTCCTGAACCTGTTGGTAAGTTCAGTTGATCTTTCATCACACATGGCATGACTAGAATATTTTTTGCAAGCACTAATTATCATCTCAAAAGAATTTGACTGACTGACATTGTGAAATATATTGGATAACCAAAGAAACAGCTTTCAGATGAGGCTTGCTCAGTGTGCGTGTAATTGTGACGTGACTCGCATGTAATAGAAGGCGGGCATACCTCATCTTTTGCTAATAGAAACTCAGGCTGGAAGCTTGCGTTTCTAAGACGCATAAGAGGTTACCCAAGTTGAATAATGCTTAGTTTCTCCTTCCTCAAGTCAATAAATGTAGTTATAGAAAAGTGAAAACTTTTCGATTTCCTTCTAGAACTTGGTTATCGGAGTGTACGCCTTTATTGTCTTTACCAGTTGAGCGCTGATTTTGCTACCATCTTTCTTCCTTCTTTCTTTCATCCAATGATTTTTTTTTTGGGGGCTATTTTCATTTGTTTAATCGTTTGGATCAATTACAATTGCATCAAGGTAAAATAAAAATCCTTCTAAATCATTTTTTCTTGATCTTGTAAAAAGCGTTTAAAGCAGACAAAAAGAGGGAAAGTGGACAGGACAACTTTATCGTAGACCTAACCATAGTAGTACATTTGTTTGTGTGCTAATATACCTTTGTCAAATGTTATATCCTTGTTTTCTATGCGTCACAGTTATTCAAGTGATACGTATAATAAACTGAATGTTATTCAAATCTACCAATGAGTTGTTATTCTATTCCCCCCCCCCCCCAAAGAAAAATAATAATAATAATAATTTGCATAAAACAGATACAGACCCAGAAAGCTATCCAGAAAAACTTCAAAGGTTGCCTAGTACACTCTCTGAATCTTTGGAGGCTCTTGATGAAGATGATGACATCTTTAAAGAATTCATTGGTGAAAAACTGCTGACCGCAATAAAAGCAGTTCGAAAGGTATGTACTAGCGGGGTTAACATGCTTCTTAAGTGGTAGTTAGTAAATCCATATGATATAGAATGCTGTTACAACGACAATAACAACAATGACAAGAGTTTTATCTCACTAAGACTGGCTGCATGGATCACACAATATTATCATGCTTTATCAACAACCAGATAGAATACAATTACACTTGTTAAGAAGATAGTAACAGGCTGCCATGGAGTGGAAGATTGAGTGGATAATTTTTAAGCGGTCTCCCTTCCGGATTAAATTCTTTGGTATTTAACGTGGGCTGTCTTTGCTTCTTTGGCATCTCAATTTGACTTTTAAGGAGACTTCTCTACTGATCTCTTATGTCTTGGAAGCGAATAAGCTGCTTTTCATGTGTTATAGTTCTAAAAGTTCATGCTGCAGATGGGACATTTTCTTTTTGTCACGTAATTAGTTTTAAATGCAAGTCTTGTAAGACATAATGAAAAAGGAATACCTGCAGTGTTTAAGTCTGTTTGCAACAAATCACGCAATCAACTCCGATTGCTGGGATGCATTTTTATCTCCATGTCCTTAATGTTCTGTACTACATATCATGCTTCAGTTACTCTAATACAAAGTAGAAAAAAGAGGTCGCAAGATTATAGTTGAGGAAGACCGCTTTCTAGAGCTGGCACATATGCTTATACACCACACGGTTTTCTGTTACCATGTTCTTAGATATAGAGATTTAACCATTCTCCACTTAGTTTCTTCATAATCGGTCATTTGTAACGATGCAGCAAATAGTAATTCGATGACTGAATGATCGTGGTGGCTCTTTAGACAGTTCTTTTCTCTTCTCTACTCTCCCCACCTTTCCGTGTTATTTCTTCAGTCAGGCTAATTATGATCATTGATGTGATTTTTCATGTGCAGGCTGAAATTAATTATTTCTCAGAGCACGAGGGTGCACACAAGAATCTCATTTACATATACTGAATCAATCTGTTGCACTGGTGTAAGATCAGTCAGGCTAAAGTATTAGACTCTGGTGATTCTTCACGTTGAGTAATTTATTAATGCTTCCGATCCATGGGGTTCAAAACCAAGATAGTAATACTAATAATAATAAAGTCGCCCCTCCCCCACCCCGTAGGGATTTGTAGCTTTCGTTCCTTTGTCCTGTATTTCCCAATGGTTTTCCATCACTGTGCACTCTGCGCATAATGAACAAGTTAATAACAACAAATTATCTTTTGTCTTGTAAGGCTCCGTGAACTATATCCATTTGTTAATTTATATTCTGCTCAAATTTTTTAGTATATTATATATAGTTTAAGATGAATATTGTATTGTTTATATTATTCATAATTTATGAATCACATTTTTTTGTGTTGATGTATTTATAATAATGATATTTTTTCTGCATTAAAAAAGATAAAAGTACTTAATTAACCAACTGCCAGAGTTTATATACTTCCAACGTGCACATGTAACCTTGTAGTCGCGTCACTCAAGTTTGATTGCGAGGGTAGATTTTTTATTGAGTTATTGAATAGTAAAGCTTTTTTTTTAATATAAACTGATAGTTTACTGACTTGACTAAATCTTCATTTTCATTTTTTTAATGAACCATCCTTATTGATGAAATTCTGTGATCTTTGTACGAGTCATTAAATTTTTATTCTAACCTCTTGTATTTATAAGCTTATACTCCTTGCGCTTGTTATGTAGGCACCTTAGAGGGGTTTTATCCCCAACTAGATCGAATAATTGGTAGTCATGCCCCAGCGATATGACGGGGATTATCTCCCGTTTAAAGTTAAAATTTCCATAACATATATAGGATAACATTGATTATTTAAAATTAGTCAATTTAAATTATTTTAAATTCGAGCTTGAGATGCATTTCTTCTTGGAGTAAATTTAATTATTTAACCATTATAAAAACGACGTATAGAAGTTATTTAGCACATTACTAGAAATAAAACGTTGGATGATTTCATGCATTCCATGAAATGCTAAGGTTGGTAAGAGAAGAGAGGCAATGGCTCTTGTGATTTTGGTAAGGAGGGGCTGGGAGAAAAAAACTGGAACACTCAGAACGGACACACTATTCACCAACCCAAATAACCGACGTACCCAAATCTACGTTCCCATATATTGTTGCTCCTACCATGCATGATTTTCTACGCAGAAAATCTGGAAGAACCAAAATCACGAAGCAGATCAGAGAGATTATATTCCTCTAGAACTAAAAACGAAGACCCTAAAGGCTGTGCCAATATCTCATAATATAATTCAGAACACAAGGAGATGGCAATGCCTTTGCGAGCCCTGTTGGCCTCAATTGTGCTCTTTCTCGTTATCATCGTTCTTCAGCTTCCTCACGTTGATGCAGACACTAATCCCTCATGGAAACGAACCACTCACCACGTAGGAGGAGGCAGTACGGTTCCCCTCTTCCAGTCCCGGCCACGTTTTAAGCCGGGTCCTTGGAAGCCAGCTCATGCCACTTTCTATGAAGGAGGCTCTTCAACATATGGTATATTTTCTTAACAATGCTAATTCCCAACTTTCATATATTAAGTCATGTATACATAAGATCTTTAAAATTTGATAACTTATTTGATTCATACAAATAATTTTCTTACTATTAATTAGTTCATTATTTTATTAATGAAGTGTATGGGTAACAATAACATTGAATCTCTTTAAACTTTTTTTCTTGTTATAACCCTGTAAAATTTAGATGATGCATATTCTCCACTAATTAGCAAATAGCAATGTAGCTCACTAATAAATTAAGGAATTTTTTGCAAACGTGTAAAAAAAATTAAAGAATTCCTTGTCAAATTTTAAAATTGTTATTTTCATGAATTTATTTTTTTAACAAAACTAATGTACCATAATAAATAAAATTAATGTATGATATTAAGCTGGACTGGACCTGGATCAGAATCCAATTGATTTATAGCTACACTGAGTATGGATTTGCTTTAGGCTTTCTGTAATCTCTTCGTCCTTTTTCCCCTATATGTTTTTGTTAAAAATTAACATCAAGATGATTAAAAACTCGAATCTCTGCTCACACAGTCACACTCCACTATCTAAGCTAGCCTCGTCTAGTTTCTCCCCTCGTTATTTAAACTCACCACATTGGATTAACTATGAAATGGGTTGACTTAGCCTAGGACCAGCTGCCCAATAATAGGAAATGATTTTATTGGCTGCGGAGCAACAAAGTCCTTAGTTACCCGAAACTAAAGTCATTTCTTTTCAGTTTCTATATACCGAAACGATGGTTTGGGAAGAAGTACAAATATATTGATAAATTTGAGAAAAACATGGCAGGAGGAGCATGTGGGTACGAGGATGTAGTGAAAGAAGGGTATGGATTTGACACTGCGGCATTGAGCCAAGTTCTGTACAACGATGGACTCACGTGTGGTGCATGCTTCGAAATCCAATGCGTGAACTCGCCATGGTGCAAGCATATCAAACCTTCCATTTTCGTGACGGCCACCGATTATTGCCCTCCCAATTTCAACCTCGCGAGTAACAATGGAGGATGGTGCAACCCGCCACGCGAGCACTTCGACTTGGCCAAGCCTGCTTATCTTGATATTGCCGAGTACCAAGGTGGCATTGTCCCCATCAACTATCGCAGGTGGTTATCAAGAAAATCTCTACGCATAATAATTGTTGCGGTTGTTTTGACAAATTGTGATTGAAAGTGAATTGAAATGCAGGGTGGCATGCAAGAAGCAAGGAGGCATTCGGTTCACCATAACTGGGAATCCGTACTTCTATCTGGTGTCAGTGTGGAATGTTGGAGGAGCAGGGGATGTGGTGGGAGTGAAAGTGAAGGGAAGTGAGAAGGTGAAATGGACAGTTTTGAACAGGAATTGGGGTCAGAAGTGGGAGACCAATGCCATGTTACAGGGAGAGTCATTGACCTTCCGTGTCAGAACAAGTGATGGAAGGCACTCCACTTCGTGGCACGTCACTCCTGAGAATTGGCAGTTTGGGATGACCTACGAAGGCAAAAACTTCAAGTGAATTCACTCCAATTCCCTCCTTTCTCAACCACCATGTGCCTTGGTTTGTATATATTTGTTCTATTTTCAAGTATGTTGGCAGCTCCTTAGAGGCCGCGCATCAAATTAGAGCAGCTGAGAACGAGAACGAGCTTCCCCAGCCAGGTAGGTTAAGACTTGTAAGTTGTACCGGTTAGATCAACGTCGAAAGCAAATTTGTTCCTTTCCCCCTTTTATGTTCCCCCTTTTATAACTTTTGCTCAATGAAAGAATTTAATCAATTTGTTAATGCGTTTGAAAGGAAATTTCGAGGAATAAGGAAACGTAGTCAATAGGTCAGGTTAACTATATACGCAGAGCCAAAATCTTAATGATAATTAAGTTCAGAGTACAATAAATTTCAAATTCAAATTCCAGATAATTTATTGTTTAGAGACAATAAAATTCTACTGTAACACAACTTTTTTCTGTGGGCCACCCAACCCAATACCTTTCTCTACTCCTATGTCAGCTTGTCAACATGATGGACCGAGATTACAAAAATCCATCAGCTGGTAATGGTAACAAAACGTCCGACCACCTTCTGCAAATAACCAAGAAATTCACGAGCCATGCAAGACAATCTTCTCGTCCAGGGTATATGTTAAGACAATTTGGCTCTGAACCGTCATTGATGCCTCATCAGTTAGACGTGTAGCTTAGCTTAAGAGGTCACTTTCTCCATAGCGCGATCATAATATTCCAACGATTATCATCATCAACAGCTTCAATAAGTCCAAACGAACGAATACTTTTATGTCGTCTTCTTTTTCTTGCGCCTCACTTCTCCAGTATCATACCTTTTCTCACGTTTTGATTGTTGAGCACGTATTTCTAGTAGTTTTGATTTTGCATCACGAAAGATGACATCTGATCTTGAAGCCATCATTTGCTGAAAGATCATTTTAAACAAAATTAGCATTTTTCAAAAACCGTGTGCAAAAAGACTCGCAGATTGAGACAAACCTGGAGATGATCCATGGCTGCAAGGTTAAAACCAAAGGTATCTTTACATCCCTGACAAGTAATCAACACATGAAGTTGTCAATCAACGAAGAACGGCTAAATTATTAAGTTGACAAATATTTGTGTTATGAGGGTGGAATATTAAAAACACTAGTGCAGTAGAAAAACTAGAAAAGGATGGAACAGTTAAATAGAGGCCGATGATCACAAGACAGTAACACGAAGAAGTAGATCCTTTATACATCAGTCAAGATGAGCATATCAAATACCTCCTTAAGATCTAATCTAATAACTTTAAGAGTTCAGATAGCAAAAAATTTAATTCAAAGTAACAAAAATGGCAAAGCCTCAAATCTATCTTGTCCAACACTCCAAAAACTACAAATATTTTTGCGCACACAAAAAGGGGGGAATAGATACCTTGACTCTTTTATAAAGAATGTCACTGAGAACAGTCAACACATGTCTAGCAGCTGGTGTAGTAACCAGCTGATTATAATGTATCTGCAACAACAGAGTGCTAATCCTGCAAACAAGCTCAACCTGCAATGATAAAGCCATGAGAAAATGCTCGACTTCTAAAAATGTTTTGGGAGGGACTCAAAGCAATTTATAAATTGGCTTTATATCGTCATTATTACCCATATAAAAAGGATTTTACGTCTCATTCATCATATTCACATTCACATGTCTGTTAATGCTCATCATAAAAACACACAATCACAAGGAAAAAAAAGGCGGGGGTAAAAGGAGCCCCCAAAAAAAATAGCAAACAGGGGGTAGAATTTTTTTTTTTTTTTTTGGGGAGGAGGGTGTTTAGGAGTTTCAAGACAGGAAGTTTTAGTGTAACACATGCAGAAATACCTTATCAGAATATGATATCCAGTCCTTCAAATATGATAGAAGGTTCAAGGCATCTGAAAATGGTAAAGCCTGAAAAGAAAATCGAACCAAGTTAGATAAGTCTTATCCTGCTAGGTGGAGTCAGCCACATAGATTGCACAACATCATTATGTTCTATCAACAGCCAAGTCTTAGGGTATATTGTTAACTAAAAAATCTTATTCAACAACTTTCGATGCTCACATTCTACAATAAAATAAAAGAAACAGCTACAAAAATTCCAAGCATGACCAACAATTTGTGGAGGGTGGCCAAATTTCTTTATATTTTATACCTCTCAGGTATACCATATGGAAGAAAGGTTAAACTCCTTAAATATGCAACCCTTCACTAAAACCAGTTTAACAAATGATTTGTTGCTCTTACCAAGTTGTTTGTTATTTAGTTGTTAATTATTCAAAGATGAATACAAGACTCCCCAAGATATAAGGAACTGTGAGAATGACAGAAGCTGGTCAAATAAATTTTTGAAGAGGGATAAAAAATGTGCAGCTCCTAAATGTTTAAACTTCTTATTTTTTCCCTTGTCTTTTCCCCCTTTTGTTGGGAATTACACAAGTCTTGCATATTCGGTTTCAAACTCCTTTAATTTTGCATAACTGCCAATAACTATCTAGAACAATCAACAGTCAACACAGTACTTTGGCAAAATCAACAAAAATATGCAACTAACAAAACCTAAAGATTTGGTCAGTGCAAACATCAAAATTATCGAAGATTTTTTGGTACTTTCAAACACTAAAATCATCTTTTTAAAATCAAAGTAGGTTTGCTCCAACCAAATGCAATGCCCAACATGTTTCATAAATAAGATGAGAGAAGGAACGAATGTGCACATCCCATACATACCATCAACGTTTGCTCTAGATCATTGGAGTGAACATCTGAAAATGCACTTAGAACATAATCAGAAGGTGAAAGCCCATTCATAAGAGGATTTGCTTGAAATACAGCAACTTCACCGCTATTTTTCTCCGCCTGAAAAAGCAGAACCATAGCAAACTGTAATTTAGAGGAACTTTGTCTCTTAACTTCCAGGTGATCAACTGAACTTTGTAATGACTCACAACCATGTTATTTACAGTAGAAATCACCCACACTGCATCAGAAAAGTCACATGAACTCTATCAACTAAATATCATTAACTATTAACTAGATGATCATAAAATTTAACAAGTATATAGTTTGATGTCATATATTACTAAATTTAAGTTTAAACCAAATTAAGAGAACTCGATTACTATTTCGGTTGATTAGATATCATAGAATGCACACATGTATATTGCTTCTAGAATTTGTCAGAATTAGAACTACCATATAACATTAAGATATTATTTATTTATTTAGTATATATCAACATACTCATACCATATATTTTAGATAAACTATCATTGCACTTGTCCATGCATCTGCGAAACATGTTTGTGCAAATGCCCAATGCATCGTTGATCTCTTTAGATGTATTTAATTATGCATGCTTGAGCCATAGTTTATCAGCAAGCTTCAGTTTCGATCACAAGGGTTCTCCAAGAGGGAACAACCATCACTAGGCAAGTGAGCACCATACCTGATGCTCTGCAATACGCTTTTGTTCAGCATCAGCTATGTCTAGTCTCTCAATAATTAAGTCAGTTGCAGAAAGGGTTTCCTGGGTTTTCTTCCCAGCCACAGCCACAGCTCCCTCCTCTGGAATTTCTTCCTTGGGCACATACTTGTTTTCAAATGCATTGTCTATATCAGCCTCAAACATCTCCTCCAACCTTTTTTCCTTTTCTTCCTGCAATTAAAATGGTTTATCCTATTGAGGTGAAACAAATTATACTGAAAAGATTAACATTGCATCTATGTTCCAGTTATAATCAAGGCCCTTTGTCCTGCTTTAAACAAGCAATGTTGCATCTATCTTCCAATCATAATCAAGGTCCTTTGTCCTGCATTAAACAAGTGTAGCACAAGCCCAAACAAAGTGAGTATACCTCAATGAAAAACTGCTCCTCAGTGCGATCCCAGCGGCGGATAGAACGATCATGAGATCCAGTGACAACAAAATCACCACGATTACTAGCAGCAAGACACCAAATATCTGCATGATGTCCCTCAAGAATTAACAGTAGCTCAAATTTATCAGCATCCCAGTACTTTAACAAGCGGTCTTTCCCCACACTAAACACGTAGTGTGTCTTGGGAACAAATTTCACTGCTGTAACACTACATATAAATTGCATCAGAAAATTTTAAGTGAAATCTCAACCGAAAAATAAATATAATAGACATGAAAGATTATGTAACACCTGTCAGCATGTGCAAAAATGGATTTATGACAGTCACCAAAATCTAAACCCCAAATCTTTATATTTTTATCTGCAGAGCCAGTCACGATCAGTTCTCCATCTGATGAGATATCCATACATAGAACAGACAGCTTGTGGCCATATAAGGAAAGAAAGAATTTGAATGTGTCAACAAAGTGAATCTGAAAAATGAAATGAAAAAACTCATCAGGATAACTAAGAAATGCTTGAAAATGCAATAGTACCAATGCAAGAGACGTGAGATGCACCAGATGTTCATACTTCATAGCCAGTGCAGTACTGAATACTCATCACTAGAGTGAATGCATGCAAGTATCCATGTGATGACAAGAAGGGTGACATCTTCAGACGGTTCATAGACACAATCCTAGATCTCTAATTCATTTAATTTTCTTCTCTTTACCTTTACCAATTTTGGGATTTGATACGAAGTTCTATGCCATGTGCACACAATCATCTTTCCCCCAGGGAGGTGTGGAGGATGTAAGATGTTGCATAATTGAAGTACCAACAGAAATCAGAATGACCATAGAGAAAGTTAAAATTACGTTGATTTTTCAGAAACTGAGTCCAGAAATTAAGCAGAAGTAAATGTGAGCATGATCAAACGATAGATGTAAGCAAACTTGGATAAAGCTGAGCCATCTGACCTTTACAGTATAATCTAACAGGGCAATAGCAATATATTTAGCATCAGGGCTTATCGCAACCACAAGAACATCATCATTCATTTTCAAAGTCCTCACATTTGACACACTAAGTTGCTTTCTAGCCTGAAAGTAAACAGAAAAAATAAGGTGTTACCAGTAAAAAACATGGCAATTGATATAAAATACCTGAGCATATATGAAATGTCTAAATTTTGAACAATTTAGAGATCTATAAAACTTAACAAAAGAAGCTAAACAACTTGACAGAGGGGAGGGTTTTGGTTTCCACAAGATACAGCTGTGTTTAATAAATATCACAAGAATAAAACATGTGGCTGAAAAATAGCAAGGGCTTTTACTTATACTTTATCTATTTTAAGAGAGAACCTATTAAACCATTTCTACAAAAGAGGTATTAATTTTTTATTAAGATGTCATAAGAAATTTAAATAAAAGAAAACAAATGAATGATATGAGGAACACACTTGACCAGCCTTTTGCTTTAATTGATACTCCCAGAACTTCACATCATGGTCTGCACTTCCTGTGACAAAGCCATTCTCATCTGGTAAGACAGCAATTGAGCGCACAGAGCCACCATGAGCTTCCACCACTTCAAGACAAGTGCCACTTCCTATGTCAATAATTTCTAGGCTTCCGCTTTTAGTCCCAACAAGTCCATAGTTGCTATGGGGAAGAATTATACCACATAGTCCATAACCAGAATCAATGGTTCGTAAGCAAGAACCAGTGCTGGGGTTCCAAATTTTTACAGCATTATGACTGGTTGACATCAACAGAGTGTTGTCAGAGCTAAGCGTCAAACTTCTAACGTCTGAACGGTGCCCTTGAAGCTCAATAGCTAGTGTTTTTGGGGAAGCACCATTTTCAATAGAGTAGAACTCCAGTAGATTATTATTCAAAGACAGAGCCAAAGTTGCCAGAGAATTCTTAGGAGTAATTGGACAGAAAGAAATGGAGCATATCTTTTTGCTAGCTCTTATGGTATGAAGCAGCTTAAAAACATCTTGTATGTTGACAGTAGAGTTAATTGTTTCATTAGGTTGATCAGTTGTAACAGGATTATCTCCTGCTGCATTCTCATTTTGCCTATCCTCAACTTCTGCAACCTGCAGTGACTTTTTGCCATGTTTCTTCTCCTTTTTTCGGTGAAGTCTACGTTTTGCTTTCCTATTTGCTTCAGAATCATCTAACACACGGTATATTTCTACTGTCTTTCCAGCAACTTGACAAGCTAGCAAATTCCCTGACTTGTTGAATTGCACAGTTGCGACTCTATCCTTGTTTTGCCGCTGAATTTCACCAAAATAGCTTAAAACTTCCCATTTGTTTTGAATTGAAGAAACTCCATTGCCAACAGTATTGCCTCCATTTATAGACTGATCATTCATTGAGTCATGCTTAAGCGTGTAAAATCGAAGTTCCTTATCTGCAGAACCAGTGACCAAGTACCTTTCAATTGGATCAATGTCTATGGACCATATTTCACTATGATGACCACTAACGATTTGCATACAGTGCTGGGTATCAAGATCCCACACTCTCAAGAACTTGTCTTTGGAGGAGCTAACAAGTTTTTTCCCAGAACTCAAAAAAACAACATCAGTTACCTAAAATGAAGAAAATAAACTTGAGTCAGAATAAGAAAACTCATCATGACTTTAAGCAGTACAAATTACTCCCTCTGTCCCTATTTGTAAGTCCCAAATTCCATATTTGTTTTGTCCCTAAATATAAGCCTCAATTCAAATTTCAAAGTTTTAGGTGTAATTAATGAGTTTTTCCTAAAAAATCCTATAGAGAATTAAAATTACAATAGAATGCACATTCCAATGAGGCATTTAATTGAGAGCATATTTGGAAAGAAAAAACTAATTTTTACACATCATTTAGGTTTTAGTGTTTTCTTGGTTTGCATGTTCAGGGGGAAAAAAAAACAGGTAAGCAGTTAACCACTGATAGAAGGCAGAATGTCCGCATTTAGAAGTTTAACTTGAAGTTGCACCAAACCTGATCCCGATGACCACGTAGGCGAAAGAGCCCTGTCTCACCAATCACGTCCCATAAAATAACATCATTATCCTTGCTGCCGGAAGCGAGCATGGATCCAGCCTTATTGTAACGAAGAGCAGTGACAGCCCCCTTATGTCCATTTAAGGTTGTCTCACATGTTCCCGTGTCAGGATTCCAAATTCTTATGCTCCCATCTGCATAACCACTAGCTATCTGGAATCAAAACCATGCCATTTTCAGGTACTCCAACTCGAGCATATTTTGGGATTCAACAGTACAAATAAGCATTTATACGGGAGTTCTCGCATAAAATTTGTTTTACTTCAATTAACCAAACTGAGAAATGGCAATCAGAAACAAAATATCCATGTCTCTTCATTAACGAAAAAAGCCAAATACTTCTCAACTGACGACTTTAGCTAGCCATTGTTGCCCACTTTTACGAGAATCCATCATTTACTAAATGGAGGTTCAACGAGAAAAAAATATCTGATTTAGAATGATTCAAGACAGCCCAAACTCTTTCTAGAACAGACGACTGATTTGCATCAATGACGCAAAGAACTCAAGCAAGGTGAAAAGACAGAGAAAGCGGAAAACAGTTACTGTTACCAGAGAAGTGGTGGAAGAAGCGATTGAGGTGACAGCAACAGAAGGACCACGTGAAGCAGGAGAGGGGGTTAGTTCTTTAGTGCAGATGCCCTGCCGCACATGCCAAACGCCGACTTTTTCGAGGGCCGGAGCCAGGAGGTGCTTGCCGGAACTGTCATAAGAAATATTAGATTCAACAGACACAACGACCCCAAAAGACGCCGCCGGCTCATATCGCAGGTAGGCTTTAACCATGGCTGCGTTGGCGGAGTTCTCCCTGGTGCTGCGAGGTTTATGCCTCTCCCGACTAAAACGCAGGGTTTATGCCTTCTGAATTTTTTGCCCTTTTACGATAAAGTTTTGGGAAATCACGAGCAAGGACCCTTAAACAAATACATTCACAATTGAGGATCAATAAATTTTAATTTAACAATACACTCCTTAAAATCCTATCTATAATTAATTGTAATTGTAAAGCACGTACTTGCCCCTAAGCAAATATATTCATATGATGAATAAGCCATTATGTGCAAAATAACAAAACTATTTTTATTTTAATAAAAAATAATTCTTAAAGTGATATAAAATAAATTTATTTTCATTAATAAAAGTAAATATAAATTTGATGAATAAGTTACCATTCATTAAAAAAAAAAAAGACAACATTCCATCACCTTTTAACAAGAAATAATCTTTTTATAATTTATTCATAATACAGTTAGAGCCAACAACGTACTTTCACAATCCCAATTAAATACTGTTCGGACCATAGTCAAAATTTATTGGCTTTCAACTGTGGATATACTTCTTCATCGGTCTTTGGTTGTAAGTTGCCCCTAAGTTGCGGGTTTTCCCTTTTTATTTCCCTTGTGTGGTTTTTTGGCTTTTACAATTTCCTTACATGAGTCCAAGCACAACATTTGTTAGGCTTTCCAGGCCCATTAAGTTGGGTTTTGGAAAAGAAAATTATAAAAAAATTAAATTTAAATACCCAAAACATTAACAATTTAGAATTTAAATTAAAACATTATAAGAATAATAACCATATCAAATACGGGCTCAAATTCTTGTTTCACTGTCTTACTTCTTTTCTCATTGGTATTATTTTTATAGTAAAAAGAATAAATATATTTACAGATAAAAAGCATGCAGCACCAACTTCTGAAATTATTGGACTATATATCCCTTGGTCATGCTTAACTTTCCTTTTTTGACAACAGCTTAATCTAATCGACAGAAAACTAGTTTGTTTTTGTTTAATTCAAAAGGCAACCAACGTGTCCGTGGTCTTAAAGCTCAAACATTGGGATACGCATATACTGGAAGGAGCAGGCAATCGTACTTTCCACCTTCCTTTGGAAATTAACAAAATTTTCTTCATAAAAATTGATTCTAGGCCCCCATGTTTTATCTTATTTAAAATTCTGTCCTCCTGCACATCACAATCCTTCCCTACTGACCTGATTTTGCTTTCTCCGATCATCCCGCTAATATTTCCAGCGATGCACATGAAGTTAATTTCTCATCCTTGTTGAAGTTTAATCCACAACTAATATATTCATTGACTGTCCAGTTAACTTGACTTTCGGAAATGGCGACGTCGACTCCTCCAGGCTCCAATCTTCGGTCGTCTTCTATCCCAGCAAGGAAATCTGGGGTTTAATTATTTCGCTAAGATCTAGCTAGTTTTCAATATTCCTGATAATATACTTCTACAGAGAAAACCCTCGCACGTAAGTTTGACGATTTTTTTTGTTCAATGCAACGTAACATGTCCGTTTCAAGCCCAAAAATGAGAAACAGGTCGGTAGCTTGTTAGGAGTTTTTTGGAAAAGCAAATAATTACACTAACTAGTCAGAGCCCATTGGACGCATGAATGAAATTTTTGTTTTTATTTGAGACCCCACCTCTGGAGTGTGGGAATTTCCTGCTGGTGGATTTGCACAAGTGCGACGCTCCATAAATTTAGTGCATGTTTGGATATTTTACTTTCTACATGACTTTTGTAATTTTCAAAAAGTAAAAATTGTTTGACTAATATTTTATTTTTAAATATATATTCTAAAAATTTATTCATATTAATATCAAAAGTTCTTTTTCAAAAAATTAAAGCAAGCTGCTTTTGACATTTTAAATGGGCGAGTTAAAATTTTTAACCACATTTTTTCCATATTTCTTTTTGTTAATATTTTTTTAAAATGAAAATAAAAATATTATGTATTTTTTAATAAATCAACATTAACATAACAAAAATCACATATTATAAAATTTGTCTTTTTTAATAATTACATATTTAAAAGTACTTCCTATCATATATTATCTAAACAACTTTCACTTTATCAAATTAACTTTCAAAAAAATATATCCAAACATAAATCTTATTACATTAACTAACTTTCATTAAATTGATTTTTACTAAATGAATTTTTATCAAACTAAAAACGAATTACATCCTAATTCTCTTCTCTCCATGCCTTAGAAGTTTTTAAACCATAGCCTCGTACCTCAAAAAGAAAAATAATAAAAACATGAAGAAAGAAGGAAGGAAAGGAGGGAAGAAGAAACAAAGTTAATGATATGATACGACACCAGAACTACAATACCCTCACTTAGTTCGTGTATCGTGTGTTTCAGAAAATGACGCTCCTCTTTGTTAATTTCCGATTAATTTCGAAAGTATACATACACGTGTCCGCATCAATTTAGGGCACTCTCCAAACGCATAATAATTACTAGAAACTAGATACCACAATATCTTAATTTGAATACGAGGTCAATAAAGGACGCAGAAAATGAAGTGCACAGCTAATAAAGCTAAGCCTCTAACCTTAAAAAAAAAACCTCTTGGAAACTAACTTTACGTTAGTCGTGAGCGTACATCCCGCTCAAAATCGGAGATCCTCTATCCCATGCTTGGAGGTGGTGGGGGTGGACGTTGGGCTAAATAATTTTGAGGAGGTGGCATTGAAGGGGGCCTAGAACCCATGCTGAAACTAGCTGCTGGGCCAGCTGCAACTAGGGGTTGCGGTGGCATTCCGCCAGGAGGTGCAGGTGCAGGGCCATTTGACATTGGAGGAGGCGGCGGCAGCAGCAATGATCCAGGCATTGGAGGTGGAGGGGCTCTAGGAGGATTTCCGACAGCAGCACCAGGAGGTAGTCCTTGTGGTGGAGGTGGTGGTGGCGGTGGAGCTTGAGGTGGTGGAGGCACAGGCCTTGGTGGGGCCCCAGGTGCTGCAGTGCCATTGGTTGTAGAGGGAGGCTGTGGTTTGTTAGCCTCTGGTGGCTTGGGTTTGAAATATAACTGCAACTGCAGACAGTGCCCCATAACGTCCATGTCAGATTATGAAAACCAAAAATCTTGCTCAAGACACTAAATGGATAGAGAGTAAAAACCAAAAGAACAAAAGGAAGAGGAAAAATCCAATGAAGTTCTATTATCAAATTGCTTGAATAATTTTTTCCCCCCTTTTTGCCGTTTTTGAATCATCAGTTTGTAGTCAGTACTGAAGCAGTGATGCACCAGGTCCGTCAAGCTGCGTTGCCAATCATGTCATCTTCAGTAGTAAAATGAAGTACAGTATGCATACTGTGCATTCAAGATCCTTGTTTTACAATTCATTGGCTTGAAGTCTACAACTAATCATTGTATCTCTATTGAAGAAGTAACCATTCATCAGCTATTCTCTTCTTGTCAAATTATTCTCATTCCTTTGAGAAAAAAGGGGGAGATATTGGGTAGGCCGGTAAGGGCACATGTTAAGTTGTCCTTAATGAATGAAGCAGGTGTGTTATCAACTTATAAGGTATAACCAATACAGTGACGGTACTGACCGTGAACATTTTTGAGTCTGGGTCCCAATGTGAGAAAAACTTTGGTGTGGACTTGTCAATCTCTGTGCTGGGAACCTAAAAATGCAGATTGATCAGACACAAATCATTGCAAATGCCAAAATTTACTCTAAAGGGGGAAAATGACAGTCTATGATAGGATTCAAGATAAGTGAAGAGAAATAAGAAAAATCTCTATTAATACATGAAATTAGAATTTAACTTCATAATATTAATAAAAAAAACATAAAACTAATAGAAGAAATTAAAAGGAATAAATTTATCAAGATAATATAGAATAAAAATCTTATTCTATATTTCTCTCAATAAACACACTTAGGAGAATCTCCAAAGAACGAAGTCTCAAAAGTTTGTTTTATTCATGATATGTCAGCTTCTAAATTGCTAAGCATATTTATAATGCTAAATACAATCTAAAATAACAAATAAAATCTATATAACTAGATAATTAAATAAAACTGAATAAATCTCCTAAAATTTATATCTATATAAAATACTAAATAAAATCTAAAGAACTAAATATCTAAATAAAATCTAAATAAGTAGATATCTAGATAAATATATAGATGTCTAAATATCTATATAAAATCTAGATAACTAAATACCTAAATAATATCTAAACAAGATTATTAAATAGAAAATATCTAAAATAAATTAAAAATAATATTTATTTATAATATCTATCTTCCCAAATCACCCATTATCTCGGAACTCTATCAGTCTACAATCTATAAATATAGAATAGCAGGATTATATTACCTTGAAAGCAATTATCTCATACGGTTCAGCTGCAAACAAAAGATACTGATATCTTTTGTCAAATGGTTGAACCCTCTATCAATGAACATGTGAGAAGAGAAAGAAATAGAAGGATTAGTCCACTGTTTTATACAGAACAAAGAAAATTGACTTTTCCTTTCCTCTGAGGATTAAAAAGCAATTTTGAAGTAAGAAGCCAAACATAATAAGTTATGAAAAAACAAAAGACAAGGATGGATAAGCTTTTAAAGGCATTTGAGTCAATAAATTTAAGTCCACCTGCTCATATGAAGACATAAATCTATGCCTTGGCTTTGTGAGTTCTTCAATCTCAGGATATTCTATCTACATTAAATTCCCAATGAAAAAAGGGATCATCTATTAGAAAGCTAAAGTGAAGAAAAGGGAAATATATGACAAGAAGGTAATGCCATAGAAGACCTGGAAAAGAAGAGATCTCTGCTTTGTCTCTGGATCAAATTGCTTAGTCACTCGGTACCCAGGCCGACCAATCTTGACTGCAAAGTGCAAACATGTTGAATTCTGTTGATTGAAAAAGTAAAGAAGCCAAAGTTTCTTAAAACAACCAAAAATAACAGCTCTCTTAAGTCATAAATCATTCAAGTTATACGGGCAAATTCAGTATCAAATTATAAGTACAACAAGTTGAAATTAGTCCCAATAATTGATAGCTTAGGCAAATTATCAACAGATTCAGGTGTCTTTACTCACCAAAGCAGTTCATCGTGGAGTCATGTTATTAATACTTACAGATTCATCAAAATTAATTATTTATAATGATGATTTGGAAAATCAAACCTTTCCTAGCTCAATTAAGTTCAGATTCTTAAAGGCATTCAAGTGTACTTCAATCTAATTTCAAACTTACTATCAAGCTAGCAAAGCAGGGAATTGAAGTCAACCTGATTAGAAACCTTCCCTGGTCTTAGATTTAGCAAGTAATTGAAAAAAAAATAAAAGAAAAGAAAAGATGGTACATCATCTGAGATAAGACAACCATATTGAAATATGAAGATGGAAAGATGAATGATAGGGATGCTTTGGAAATTAACAGCCTGCAGCATGTCATAATTGTCCATCTTTTCCACGAGCTCCTTCAGGTTAATTGGATTATGAAAGCTTGGAATGCCATAGAGATCTTTTGACCAGCCTCCCACAGTCTCTCCCACAAGCATACAAGCAGCTTTGACATATCTAGATAGTCCTAACTGGGTTATGAAAGCTTCTAAAAACTTCATATCCAAGTGCAGGAGAAATTCGACAGTTTTACATTAGCTAAAAACTTCATATGAGAGGATGAAAAATTACAAATGAGATAGACCCCCAAGAAAATTCCCAACCACCTCAATAGAATGTGCTTCATCAAATAAGATTCTTTTCACTAGTTTATAGAGAGCTCTAAAGCCCGTTCTTATCCTTTTCATGTCTTTTTGCTTTCTATAACAATCAATTGTTCACATAAATAACCTCTAAGTACAGGAGATTGAAGATTCACTATTCAGAAACTACGCAAAAGTCAATAAATCGTGACTGAATCTACCAGACATGTCTTAATATACTTTCAGCTGTCATCTTTTCTCCAAATTTAGCCTCAGAAATCGGAGCTGAGGGCTAGACTAATTATCAAAAACAAAACCGTGGAAGTAAATAAAATTGCGTCATCATTGATATAGAATTTATTCGTTGATGTCAAATAAAGTTCTACTCGAACAATACCGTAAGCTACAGAAAAATTCTAATATCAGGAAATATAGCCACTCCCCGCTGCCACAAAAGTGGGACGCCTCGGTTAAAGTTAAACCAAGAGCACTCAGACAACTTGCCTCCATCACAAAGTGCACTTCTTAATACATGTCAAAGAAAGAATTACCTGACTTGCGAACCGAGACTTTACGTTTGTGGGGCTGAGGCTGAGCAGGTGCCTCTTTGGCCTCACGAGCTGCTCTCTTTGCCAGATTAGTCTGATGCCGCTTACCCTGAGTGTGGGCCAAGTAATTGCCCTCGTTATTGTGTAAGGTGAGACAAAGCTTGCACTCATAGCTGCATCCATGGGATAGAGCAAACCCAGTGAATAATACCAAGGAGCCCAGAGGCAAGGAAGTCTAGAGAGCATAAATGTAAATAGAAAATGAGTGAAGAGGAGACCTCCCAAGATGGTTGCGCATGAAATATGGGTCTTTAGCAAGATCAATGGTCTCCAGGGCAAGTCGGCGAAGACGCTCTCGACGGTCGATGGCTTCATTCTGAGCGGAGGCGGCTCCTCCACTCCCAGGCTTTGAACCCCAGTCTCGATCCATTCTGCTTCGTCTCCAGTGTCACTGACGACTCGGAAACGAGAACACAGACGATGGCCGACGGCGGACCTAAGCGGCTAAATAAAATGGAAAAAATAAATAAAATAAAAAAAAGACCATATTCTTGGAACTTCGCCGAGTTCCGGGTGAGTTATTCCATCAACAAAACCCTAAGCAGTGAGGAGAATTGTTTTAGGGACAATTACAAAGTTCATAAATAATTAAATTAAACCCATTGACAGCACAATATGGTATTATTTGTTTTTAGGTTAGACGTTAACAGGTTGTGTAGTAATTAATTTTTTTATATAAAATTTTACTGTAATTCTCCCATCTTTTATATTAGACAAAATGGGCCATAAGCCCAAATAATGAAACAGCGAAATAGACGAAACCAAACTCAGGCCACATGCTAATAGGAGTTAACTCTAACAAAAGAGTTAGTTTTTCATAACATAATAAATTAATATTTAAATTTTTGTTTGGAGAAATATTCACATTTATTATCTAATAGTATCTTAAACGGAATTGTTTTCAATAAAAAATATTTATGCATAAAAAAAATGCAAATACAAATTAATTGCTCTCCTCAAAAAGCTAGGTGATAGGGCTATATTGTGTTATCTATTGTTTAGAATAATATGTGTTGCCATAGCTCACTGAATGCTAGACTCAGCTTCTCTCCTCTCGACTCCCATCCCTTTTTCCTCTACCCCTCCAAGGATCTTCATGAAAAATTTGGACTGCTAGATCCACTATCTCTTAGCGAAAGAGATAGTGGAAGAAATTCAACTTCCTGTTGCTTTATTTGATATGTGGAATATTTTTGATAAATTAAAGTAGGAGTATGAGTAGGAAAGAGATTTAAAAAAGTATTTGGTATATCAATGAAATGATGATATAATTTTTATTTGATATTTATAATTATAATATTTGAATACCATTTTATCCTCGACTTTTTTTAAAAAAAGACTATATGCACTATAAATCCAAGCACTGACCTAGCCGCCAAGCACTACCATGCATAGCTTTGGCCACGAAGCATTGTCATGAGGTGGGAGAAGATGATTAAAAAAACTAGCAAGAATATCAATTTTAATTTGGAAAAAACAAACAAACAAACACAACAATCAACAAGAAGCCCAAATCAAATGAGAAGAACTCGATCTGAATCCTCTTGCAAAACGAGCTCGTCATTTGAGAAGAAGACAGGAAGGTTTTGGATTTCTCTAGTTTATTCATATCCAAATCTGATAAAATTTAAAGTGAATATGAGAATTTTCTCTTAAGAAACATGCGAACCATCATCATTGAGGTCTCCATCATGGTTCTCAATGATCTTTTCTTGCTCAGTGGAAGAGTATGGATGAGACAAACTCTTTGGGAGGATCTATCGCCACAAGGGCAAACAAATTGTGGGGGAGGCTCGGGTGGCATCAAAGGGGAGGAGGTTAGATAAAAACAAGGAGGAAAAGGTTGGGTAGTGAGGCAAAAGAAGGAAGAAGAAGACGTTGCTAGAGAAAAAATGATGATAAAAAGAAGGAGACATGAGAAGAAAGTGATGAGGGTTCAAAAGATGAGTGACCAAAGTTGAACAATGAAATGTGTGTTTGGATAGGCATAATAATCGATTGTTTAGTTCAAAATTAATTTTTTTGGACCAAGTTATCCAAACAGCTAGAAAAGGTCAAAAATCAATTAATGCCATAAACATTGTTTTTTTAGAAGCTCTCTCAATCAACTTCTTGCAAAAAGTTGATCAAAAGTGTTGGGAAAATTATAAAGAAAGGCCTAAGAAAAAATTATAAAAAAGGCACAACATTAAATAAAAATAAAATCAAACTCTCTTCTCTTATCTTTTTTTTCTCAATAAAATTTAAACTTTATATCCTCAAAAAATTGATAATTTGTATTTAAAAATTAAATTATATAATAATTTATATGGTTAAAATTGATTATGATTAAATTATACCAACAACTTCAATTCTGTTAAAATCACTTTTAAAAAAACGGTATTCAAACAGATTGCGTTATAATATAATCAATTATGATTAAAATCTACCACTTAATCAATTATTTTCATAATCTATTACGCCCAACTAAAATTCAAACGGGCACAAAGGGTGAGGTGGAGGAACGTAGAAGGGTTAGGGCTTTGTGTAAAATAGAAATTTGGAAGAAAAACATACAAGGACAATTTGGTCACTCAAAAAATCATCCCATAAAATAGATTCATTTTTATGGTCTGTTGATGGAATGGAAATTGCCTCAAACGAGATAATAGACCATTCTATTGAAATGGCTTCTCATGTCCACTAAATGAGGTAACAAGTCATTAATTTCTCTATTCCCATTCTATCAATTTCCATTCCCTCGTAGCAAATGAGGCATGAGTTCTATGAATGTATTTTATTATTGAATTTTGTTTTTAACAAATGAATTTGATAACTTTTTTAATCTGCACAAAAAATTATCTGAAATACCATATACAAGGGGCCGAAAGTAGTAATGAAGATCTTGTAACTTACTATAGTTTACCTGCATTATGTTTTTAAAATTACATGATCAGCATTCTACTTTAGCAAATCCGTGCAGCTTGGCCGCGGCCTTTAATCAATTAGTAATCCATTTCTCGTATCCAGAATACATTCTTACAATTAAAAATGTAATTCTTTATTTAATTCAAATAACTACTTATTTTTATCAAACTTCTTAAAAGAATATTTTCCTTTTATGTGACCGATGCAATTACTTTTTCGTGATAAATCATATCAACTTCAAGTTTGACGTGTTGATTTAACTTGACAAATTTCAATATGCTATAAAAGTATTTGGGGATATGTACGTACAAGGGGGCGAATGTTCTGCTTTTGCTTTGTTTTACATACACTGATTTTGGGGCAAAAGCGATTAATCAAGACTGTTTAGTTCCAAGCCACAGTGATCTTTTAAACTGATTTTTTCCAGTTTCCCTTCATTGCAAGGCAACAAACCGTAGACCAATAGCGCATCCTCTTTTTTACACCATTCACATGCTTGATGCAGTCAGAGCTAACATCAGCCAGATTTACAGTGATTCACATGCATATTGTACTTGATCCGGTAAGAATGCAAATATGCAATGCCGCAGATCCCATGGAGTATACATGCGGATCCAATAGAAGAAAAATAAATATAAATAAATAAAAATAGCCAGCAAACAGAAGATGTGTTCCAAATGAACAAGCGTGCATTGGCAAAGCGAGGTTGTGGCTGTACTACTGCAAGGCACTGGGCCATAAATGATGTCCAACTTTGGTAAACAAAATGATTGTCTGGTGACACGGTCTCTGCCGACTCTATTATTAAAGTGATATGAATATAATCTTAATCTTAGCTGGTTGATTTTCATCCCGTGGCAGCTGATTACGTGTCAGCGATTTGGCATTATTTTGAACAAAAAGAGTTTAATCAAGCAGCTGAGAAAAATGAATTGGGAATCTAAGGAACGCATTTTAGTGAATGGGTTAAAGCAGGCAGGGGAAGAAAATATACACATACAGGGAAAGTGGGAGCACATTGGGTTGGTTGAAACTTGACAAATGAAAGGGTGCGGAACAAAGGAACATATAATGAAGGGAGCAGATAACGACCTCCCACTCAATGCTCAAACTTTAAAGCACAGTTTGTGTTGCGTGGCCACTCTGTTGGACCCATTCTGGTTCACTATCTCATAGATCTGACACGGCCACTTCACCATACCTTTGTCTTTCCCGCTGCCAAAGCCCACTCGGGTCAGCACATCGAGCCTTCTATGTACATTGATCAAGGCCACGTCGTTTGCGTCTAACGTAATAATACAGATGCATTAATCCCAACCAGAAAAGAAAATTTTGCATCAGCTAAACTCAATAAATGAATGCCTTGGTTGTTCTGGTCACGCACCGTGCAAATCCATTCAACCATGTAACCTCGATCCACGATGGGTGCATGCCTTGTTTAATCTAGTTTGATTAGTTTCATGTTGTGTTTATGCGGCAATGTATTTTCATCTTTCATTCAAATTGTTTCAACGTTGCACATTTCATATTTTTTAAAAGTGTGCATCAAATAAGATAGAAGTGAATTTATTTCAACATTCTCTGTCAGGCTTCCATGTTTTTTAGATTAAAGATAAAAAAAAGTAGTATATTTGGAATTTAAAATATATTACCAATAGCCTAATAAGGATCTATTATATTTTTATTTATAATATTATCTTCAAAATGAGAGAAAATTGCAGAGACGATAAATGAAGCGGCAACTTAAATTTTAAGGAGCAAGTTGCTTCATTTATTGTCTAATCAAATAATTATATATATATATATATATATTTTACCTGGGTGCTATATTTTATGTGATCCCATCCAGAAGATATTATAGCTTGGGGGAGAAAACGACGTTAAAAAAATCCAGAGGGCAAGAACCAGAGATTCAGGAGAGAGGGGCATCCAGAAAAAAAGTGGGAAAATAATAATGAAAGAAGCATCCCGAAATAAAGAAAAGAATGAATACGTTGGCGTGTCACCTGATTGTTTCTCAACTCAACTCTGGCCAACATAGCCGTTTTCTTTAACCTCTCTCTCTCTCTCTCTCTCTGCGCGCATCGCCACATTCACATCATATAAATGAACCAATTAAGATGCTGATACCCATCTTCAATTGAACTGCATTGCATTTTAGAGTAACTTTTCCCTCTCACCACTTATACGTTCATTTCGCCGTACATTTTGGAGGGAGATAGGCACGTTAATTACCTTGGAAAAAGTTTCATCATCACGCGGACGCAGACAAAGAGAGAGAATGAGTTCATTCTCAGGTCAGAGCGGTGGCCATGATCTTTCTTTCAAGATCTTGTTGATCGGCGATTCCGGCGTGGGAAAAAGTAGTCTCCTCCTCAGCTTCATTTCCAGCTCCGTTGAGGATCTTTCGCCCACCATTGGTATGTACTTTATTTCATTCCACTCATTTTCCTTTTCTGTTTGATTCCCGAGAAATCCTTTTTACCTAAACCAAGGAAGCATACCGTTACTTTTTCACTGATATTCCATTTAGCATCATGCTATACTAGCGCTGGGTTTGTCGCAGATTATTCTTGTCAACTAGTTGACATCTGATGGTTGCTGATCTATGATTTGCAATCTACTATTCAACTGGCATATTTTCAAATCTGTTTCATTTACTGGGAAGTGGCTCTTTGCATTTCACAATTTCATTCGTAGAATTCCACTGATTTCTATATTTTATCTTTGCAGGAATAACTCAAAGAATAACTCTCAATATTGAATTTAATTTAATATTCTGGCCATCTGACGTTTCCCCCGCTAAATTAACTATTCTTCCAGAACTTTATTTTTCCGTAACCCCCGGAGTTCGCATACACTAACGCTCTCGCTTTGATTTTGCTTTTATCATCAGATTGAGTACTGATAAGATCTGATGTTATAATTGTCATTATGTTTACCTCGCTCTTCGTCATCTGTAGGTGTTGATTTCAAGATCAAGGTGTTCACAGTGGGTGGGAAGAGATTGAAACTGACGATTTGGGATACTGGTAAAGTATAATCAATTCCTCTGCTTCAGATTCACAAATTAAAACCTTATTTTCGCTCTGCATTTGAGTTTGTGGCTACAAGCAAAACGGTAGAAAAGGATGGACTGGAGCTTGTCCCTTTCTTCAGTTCATAGCGTATCCTGCGTCTTATGATAAATCACTTTTTCATTAGCCTCGAAATAACATTTCATCTGTTGCAGCTGGGCAGGAAAAGTTCAGAACGCTAACAAGTTCTTACTATAGAGGAGCGCACGGAATTGTTCTTGGTATGCTTGTTCTTCTACATTAATGGCTTCTCAATAATTTCTTTATGGAAAATTTGCTTGTTGCAACTACTGTTGAACTCTATCTTGATTCTCGGGCATTGTACAGAAATATAAATTTATATTTTCTGTTTTTTTATGCTTTTTTCTGCTTTCGATATTCGGGCTAAAAGGTGCATTATCTTCCTCAGAAACACCCTTCAGATTTGGTTTATCTTTCCAACAGTAAAATTGTTATATTTATTGCCATTGGCTTTTATGTCCTGTTTAAGATTTAATTATGTGTATGGAATTATTACTATTTTTTATTCAACGCTTTTTGTTAAGTCATTGCCCATTTGTTCTTCACTCAGTTTACGATGTCACAAGGAGAGATACCTTCACAAACTTGTCAGAAGTATGGTCTAAGGAACTGGAACTCTATTCAACCAACCAGGATTGCATGAAAATGCTAGTCGGAAATAAGGTTGATAGGGTAAGTTTGTGCTCTAATCCTGCGCAAATAGATGACTAAAGGGTGTGCATAATTAATTATCGTTAAATTTTCCTCAATAAAATGGATAATAGGTATTTTCCTCAATATGAAAGGTCTGTCCCACAAGATTTTGTTATAAAATGATTCTGTAACAGCAATACAATACTCCCAATTTACATGTTTCTACTTAAAATTGTTATAAGTGTTGAAGAATCTTTTGGAGCTATATACATGTAATGCTTGTATAAATTCCAGCACAAAGTGGCAAGTACTAAAGAAACTGGATTGACATGGGTTAAAGTTTTCTTAAAACAAAAGCTCCTAACGACAAAAGGCACGCCTTAAATTTATTTTTTTTTTCCTGGCAATAATCTATTGAAGTATACGCTTCTTTATAATTTCAGGTTCTTACATCACTTTTATGGGTTCTCTCTGTTTAGGATTCTGAAAGGGTAGTCAGTAGGGAAGAAGGCTTAGCTCTTGCCAAAGAGTTGGGGAGTTCGTTTCTTGAATGCAGTGCTAAAACTCGAGAAAAGGTAGATAAATGCTTTGAAGAACTTGCTCTAAAGGTACAGTTTTAGATGCCCTCGTGCTTCTTCCTCCTCTTTTCTGGGTACCTAATATAACTAATGTTCGAACCTATAAAACTTGTTGTGTAATTTAAACATAATAGACATAGTATTTGAAACAAAACTAAACAGATGCAAATTTGCAGAATTTTAAACTAGCCATGTGTCATGAGAATAGACATGATATTGTAGACTTTTATGCTGCATATTGTAGATTATGGAAGTTCCTAGCCTTCTTGAAGAAGGATCAACCGTAAAAAGGAATATATTAAAGCAGAAACTGGAACCCCAAGCACAGCAACATGGTGGATGTTGCTCTTAAAATGCAGCAATGTGGACATTTGAGACATGACAAGCGCTCCTTGGACATGTGATTGTATATGTAAGCTTCTTCTCTAGCCTCTTACCGTTTCCATTGTCTTTCAGTTGCTCTATTCTTGTACTACCGCAATGTGGAAATTGACACTCAAACTACGGTTGTTTTCCTGGTGTAAATTTGTTTGCTCTTTCGTTCGTTGTTCGTAGCCTAATATTTTGTCCAGATCAGTAAAGCCAATGCCAATACGATTGATCTATCAGTTTCGATGTCACTCTCAAGTTCAGAGTTTCTGTTGCATGCATAAAGGGCTGTGGTCCAAACCCCCAAAGGAAAATCATACGAATCACAATCTTTACAATCGAACAGAAATCTTAACTTGACACTACGCGTCTCGAAAGTCCAACTCAACCAAATGGTACATACAACATCCAATATATGTCAAATCAGTCTGGCTAAACGTGGGGAAAAAATACTGTACTCAATTCTAAACTACAGTTCAGTAGCACCAAATCATTTGAAGCGATGAGAACTCGCCTCCTAATATTTTAGGAGAAGTTACAACGCCACAAAACTACGAGCTTGCTTTGTATGCCGTAGCTCATTGTCGGGGATATATAATATTCGAGGAAGTGCTGATATAGAATTCACGTTCTGCAGCATACTGATTTCTGTGGCAAAGCTGTAGACGCAGACGAGCCTTGGACCGGCTCAACTTTGCTGATTTTGATAGATTGAGGCTACATAATAAATAACGAGTCGAAGGTGATTTTGGGGAAAATAATCAATTACTTTCCTTGGAAGATTAAGGAAACCAAGAAAGTGTACCTCTGCTTTTGAGTCACTCTCTGAAAGTCTCTGCTTTATGTCTCTTGCTATAGAAAAAAAGACCTGTTCCACGTTCAAGTTGGTCTTGGCACTCTGCCCAGAAATGTTTTATTAATATAAACTGTGAAAGCAATGCCCAAAATCCAGAACTAGTGCTTAAATCAGAATCCATGCAAATCAAATGTTAGCTAGACCCAAGTTGTAAACCATGTGTACAAATGGTGAGTGATTTACACGATAAATTGGTGCATATTCTACTCACAGTCTCGAAAAATCTGATGTCATATTCATCAGCCAATGCCTTGCCCCTTGACGTTGGTACTACCTACAAGGACATTATAACGTAAGTTTTGAACTTTGGATACAACAGAGCCCAATATATGCTTCTAAACGATCTCCAGTCAGTACCCTTTTGCTCTCATCCATGTCAGCTTTGTTTCCGACCAGTATTTTGTTAACATTATCAGATGCATGCTGCTCAATGTTCCTGATCCAGTTCCTAATATCTACAGTTAAAATAATAATAATAAGAAGAAGAAGAAAAGGGATTCATAATTATTTAATCCTTCTCAGTAATTCCAGCCAACGAAACTTCAGGCGAAAGGAAAATAGGTGGAGCTAGGGCAATACTGTTAAAGGATGATTCATCTGTTACATCGTAGACCAGCAATATTCCCATGGCACCCCTGTAATAGGCTATAAGAAACAATGAACAATATCAGCCACTTGGCCATACATATAGAAACTTCCTGAAATAATTTGTGACTCAAGCACGCATTTTCATCCTCATAGTGGAGCAGCGCTCGAAAGCTTCAACAATGTCTTTTGAGAGATTTCGTCAGAAAAGGGAAGTACCAGTCGTTATTGTTCGGAAACGTTCTTGACCAGCAGTGTCCCATATTTGCATTTTAATGCGTTTCCCATCAATCTCGACTGTCCTAATCTTAAAGTCAATCCTGAAACAGGCACCGATAATTCAGGACTCTGTACATAACCATGAAGCAAATTTGCATGCATTTGTGATTTTCGAAGTCCTATGCCTCAAGATTAGGCCTATACACACAATATAAGGGACTCGATCCACCAAAAGATTCACATAACAAATCCGTCCTCAGAAAGTTAAGCACACATACCCGATAGTGGTGATGAAACTAGTAGTGAAAGAATCATCCGTAAAACGTAACAGTAAGCAACTTTTTCCTACTCCTGCAATTCACTAAAAGTTGTCATGTAACTCGTAAAAACCACTCACTCACTACTGAAAATTAAATCGGAGAAGGAAATGAGGAAACTTGCATAGCTTTAGCTCAAAGCATAGCGTTGCCAAACACATAAAACTGCACAATGGGGGAAATAGCAAAGCGCAAGCAACAAGAAGTCGTTATCACATACAGCGCCTTCATGATCATAATTAAAATCTAGTTACTGTATTAAAAAAAAAAAGTTGTTGATTAAGCATGCCCTGTGCCGTTATTCACATCATTGGTATTGAACGAGTAGCGAAGGAAACAGCGAAGTTCATGTGGATGGTCCTGTTGAGTCAAAGGACCACAGATAAAAACAGACTAAACACGTTTACAGATAAAATTTGGCATTTCTGTGGTGGTTCCATCTTGCTTGATTTTTAATCTAAATTTGCCCGATAAGTCAGCAAAGAATAGCGCAAATTAAAAAACCACACGAACTTCATTTGGTTTGCATGAAACCCGATAAGAGAGCCCACACAAAATTATTTTAAGTATCAGTTTTGAAATGAAAACTCACTTCCCCCAAACAACTGATCTTAAATTTTACACAATCAAGCTGAACCAAATTATAACACAAAATCATAACAACCAGCAGTTAACCCACCAGTTAACAAACGATAAGTAGCTAAAACTTTTAAACCAGAGTGAATATATAATTAAACACGAGAATTGAACAGAAGAGGGACGAGAAAAACTAGAATAAGGAGAGGAAGGAAGTAAGAAACAGAGACTTGCCGCTATCACCGATGAGAAGGAGCTTGATAAGGCAGTCGTAATCGGTGCGTGCTCTTGCCACCGCCATTATCAAGGTCGTTTCAGAGTGAGACAGAACTCTCACAACTCAGAAGTCACAATTATGAAGACAGAGAGAGAGAAGATGAGAGTTTAATAGTAAGTTTACGTTACATTACATCGACAAAGTTTGCTGCAGAACAGAAACGAAAGAAAAGGAGGCAGACACAGCGTGACAGACTGTGTTGTGTGCAAACCTGGGATGAGGCTGAAAAGTTCCAATGACCTTGTCCTCGTTTCTACGATGCTTTCTATTGGTGTCTCCATGACAGCTGTTCAACTTTTTATTGTTTGCTTTACATTCTTTGTACTTCCCCAACATGTCTCTTTTTCTCACAAGGTTTTGATTGAGAGATTACAAATTAATTATTCCCAACTTTAGAAGCGACTATGAGGATTATTTATACCAATCACGAACAATTTTTTTAAAAAAATAAATGTTGATTATTTTATTCATAGGTCAGTATTTACTAGTGACTTGTGTATTTTTTTGGGATCAGCAATCATTGATTTGGCGATGTTATAACCATTGAAGCAATTAATTCAAGGTATTCGTCTCTTAACTCATTGAATATCATAATAGTGACAGGTTTATAATATATTGCTCTCTAATAAGGATTTGTTTCGATTAACATGATTGTCTCATACGGTAACAGCAACATGTTTTCCTAAGATATATCGGCGTTAATACTTAATCGTCCCAACATATGAACTTGACACCCAAAAAAATTACCTCAAAAATAGCTGTCCTTTTAATGTTGGGAGAAATAGCTGTCCTTCCACCCTCAGTGGCTGCAATGGAAAATAGTTGGCGGTTCATGTTGCCAACATTGTTCTGATTTAGTCTTGAGAGGAACAGAATGGTAAGAATATGATTTACTTTGTCCGACGAGTATAGGAAGGCAGTGTGAAGAATAGAGAACAAGCGAGAAGATAGATCAGATTTAGAAGGCAAAGAGAAAAGATTTGGCTTCTCTCCCCTGACCTTTCCTTCCATTTCCTCTCCACTAACTAAAATAAAATCTGAACCATTCCGATTTGGTGAAGATTAAATTTGAATGGTTCACATTTAACATTTTTATTTTTTATTTATATTTATATTTTATACTTACTAAAGTAAAAATTAAAATTTCATCAATTTGGATAATTCAATTTAATTTTAAATTTTTTATAATTTTTATAAATTAATTATTTAGATATATTTTAAAAAATTCAGATTTAATATTAATTTTTTTAAATTTTTATTTTAATAAATATAAATTAAAAGTGAAGGTAATATCTCAATTGATATTTTCTAAAAAAAATATTTTTATAAAAATTTAATATTAATTTTTGAACTCTCTGAATTATTTTGATGAGTAATAAAATAAATTTATTAAAAATTTCAATTTTAAATTTAATAAATATAAATAAAAAATAAAAACTTTAAATTTAAATTTATTTTATATTAAATTTGAATAGTTTTGATTTTATTTTAATTAACAGAGGGAAAGTAAAGAGAAAAGTTCGTGAAAAGGAGCCCAGCCCCAAAAAAGGGGTTAGGATAGTGAGCAGTGAGAGTGACGAACAAGGCTGGCAAGGTGACAATGACAGAATGGGTTTCCTTGTCCGACGTTGTCCCCGCTGTACTTGTGTTCTGTCAACTTTTGTCGGATTTACTTTGTCAAGTAGCGCCCAGTGCACAAAGAATAGCAGCAGTTCACACGCCGACACACACCGCTATGGGTCGAGTTTACCAACAGGCCACGTTCACTCCTCCACTCGCACAAGGTCAGGTCACAGCACTGGCGCTAATATGAGACTCAGATCCTGATGCAACAAATAAGTACTAAACAGTGTCTATTATAAAGTACTCTTTTTTTAAAAAAAAAATCTAAATTATATGATCATATCATTCCTTTTGAGAATGTATACTAATATCCTTATCATTTTAAATTTATGTTACAAGCAAAGTACCAGAAAATGTAATTTTGGGTCCCTAAAGTTTTTTAGATTATCAGTTTATGAATTTTGACTCGAAGTAATTAAATTCATGTAATTTCTTAATTCAAAATAATTCAATCTTTATAAGTTTTTGACTTTGTATAATTTGATATCTATAATTTCTTAATTCAGCAAAATATAAATACCAAATTGTACTAAGTTTAATTTCAAGAATTAAATTGATAATTGAAAAAAATTTAATAACTAAAAGGTATATTATCCTACCAAAGTATTTTTACATAGACCATTGATTTCTTTGATTGATAATATATTTCATAATGTTTTATTTGATATTTTTTATGTTGTATCAAAAATTAAAAATTTAACTCATTCGAAACATTTCTTTTTAACATTCGCAAAGCTTACGCATAGCAATATACTTATTCTGCCCCCAGATATAAATCCTAGTATCAGTTTTCTTTTGTTTACAAATATAAGTCCTAATGCAGATTTTTAGGTACAATCAATACATATTTCCCCCAAAAAAAACCTTACGTAGAAAATATAAGTGCTAATTGAGGCTTATTTTGAATTTCTAGACATTAGATAAAGGGTAAAAATGAAAAAAAAAATATTCACATGACACATACTCTCTTTGTTAGAAAATGTAAAATATTTTTAATTAAATCATACCTATAATAAAGTAGTTAATTACTTTCAAATTAATAGGATGTTTTATTTTAAAAAGATGTATTAATTATACTTTAAAATGCTAAAAAAATTTTATTTTTTAACATCTAAATTCTTAAAAAATATTTCTCTCTCTCTCTCTCTCTCTCTCTAAAAAAATATTTCTCCTGCTAGTATATTTTGGCACCTCTTTGTTTAGCATGTTTTTCAATATTAGAACTTATATCAAGGAAACAAGCACCTCGACTCTTCTATCCCGTGGCTCACGGAGCATGGTTTTCGACACTCAGACACTCGCTTATTGTTTGTTTGGCAGGAGAGGAAGCGATGGAAAAGCCGAGTATAACCGTGACGGGAATTATTCTAATGTCTGTTATACCTTACAAAGCACCAACCTCAATCTGTCCAGTTTGGAAATAATATTGCATGTAAAATTGCCAGTTCCTGTCTAAAAGAAGCTGAGTGAATGCGCGAAGGACGAAAATATATTACGACTAAAATGAGATTGAGGGAGGGAAAAAAAAAATTTGGAGGCTTTCAACGAGTAGTTAGTGATTGAAATAGTGAGATGGAATAAAAAAATTCACATATTTTTACATGATTGAATAACCTAACCTAAAACGTATCCTAGGTCAGGCATCTGCAATTTCCCAATTTGCCCTGAATACTGGCAAAATATGAAATCAGTATAAAGGAACTCACGTGTTCTCTAATATATCATTTTTGAACTTCTAGCATTAGGCAAACAATGAATTCTCAGATTTTGGGTAGCTTAACGAAGCGACTTCGAATCTAGAACATCCGTCTAAATGAATTTAAACGTGTTCCACCCATCACATTGCTAGTGAGGTGGTAGGGAAGTAGCACCAGCAGCTTCCAGCAATCTCCCAGCGTCTGTGCTGTGATCAAGTAATTCTGCTGGGATCTGCCAAGAAAAAAAAAATTCAGGCTTTGATGCAGAGTAGAAACGGAAATTTCTCATATTCCTGCCAACATTACCTTTCCATATAAGTTTGTCTTCGTGGGAGATGCACCATGAGACAGCAATAACCTAACGACATCAACATGCTCGCCTCTAGCAGCGTGATGGAGCGGCTGCAGAAACAATCGTGACATAATGTTGATAGAGCGAATCAGAACTCTATCAAATATCATATTGTGGGTAGGTTAAGGACTGAGATACATCTATTCATGATTTCATCTAAACCCCCGAAAGTGAGGAATTTCATCCTGCATCGCGATGTTGAGGATACCCAAAAAAATGACACACTTTTTAAATTAGATGCTCTCCAATCATATCTTCATGCATTCTGTAAGAAAATCGCACTATAATATGACCATGTTGGTCCAAAAAAAAAAAAAAAAACATGACCATGTTGAAACTCACATCTTATTTTTGCTCCCATCATCTCATCTCTTTTCTATCTCTTTGCAAATACAATATATGCATTCACTCTTTATAAATGTAGAGGATCAAGACTACACAATTTCATAGATGGTTCAACCATACAGTTCACAGTTAGAAGTTGAAATGCAAGATTTTTGGTAAAAATACTCACTGTATCACCCTCTGAATCAACTGATTCAAGCATCCTCCTTATATGCTCTGCATTATCAGCTCTGTTAAGTAGCAGTGGACTATCTCAGCATACCCTGAAATGATCGTAAAAAGATTTTTTAAAAAAATTATAAATAACAATCCAGTGAAGTGAGCCAGACTAACACTTGGAAAATAACTACATATCACCTCCTGCACAAGCATCATGCAATGGAATTGCACCATCTTCATCCTTAGATTCCATGTTTGCTCCTCTATCCAGAAGTAGCTGCATTTAATTGAAACATTTATCAGTTAACCATCAAAATTCTTTGAAATAACATATCAAACAAGGAATAAACAAAGTTGACCAACCTGGACACACGATAAATGGCCATATAAGCAGGTCAGATGTAGAGCCGTATCCCCATCTTCCACAGGCTCGTCAATGCTTCCAGTCAAGTTATCTGCAGTAGAATGAGGGTAAGCACCAGCACAAAGATGATCTAACATTCAACTGAAGGAGCATTCAGATGTCCAACAAAATAATTAAAATCCCCACTTTCCCAAAAATAATGCCAATCTCCAGACATGAAACCTTTAGCGTACAATACTGGATTTATAAAGATGTCATAGAAACGAAATAATGTATCAACAATATTGAAATTTCAATTGACTGAAGCAACCAATTAACCTATCAGTTCAACTCTTTCTTCAATTGAGGCAGAATGAGATATCTAGTTCTGATTTCAATCACTAAAAAAAATAGCATGCCTTGCCCAATCAAATCTCCATATCTCACAACTACTTTCAACGGAATCAGTTCTTTACATGAAGGAGCATCTCGATGATAGGCAGAAGAGAAGTATAAAGAATAGGAAAATAAAGAGCTGGACAAAAAACTCAGAACTTTCATTAGCAATTGTAATCTATTCTACTTCATTAATTACAAAAGAATAATTAGTTAACTATAACTCCTTCTAACAATAAGTCTTTCATTTACAACTATTAACAGACTTAACTATTTCCATCTACTCAATTCCATTCCATAAAAACCTTAATCCTCAAAGGCAACTATCATTATTACAAGATTGTTGTTGTCGTCGTCGTCGTTGCTGTTAACACTTCCATTCTGCCTACGAAATGCTGCATAACACTTCCATCTGCCTCAATTACATCAATTCTTACATTAGGTCGTCATAGATAGGCTTAAAACATCTTCTCAAAGCTGTTTCATATGTATCTCACGAAATCCTATGCCTTCTTGATATACATTCTATGCCCATTGAAGCCTTCGTCATCTAAATGTAACTAGACGGTTATCTTCATCTCTATTGGTGTTTCATCCAACAAAAAAGTATATTGTGCACTTCTTGAAGCATCCAATGACATCTTTTTGAAGGAATCGTGGAAATTATATGTTTGTATAATGAGTGGATATCTAATACTCATGATTCACTTACCTCTAATGATCTCCTCCTCTTCTATCAATATCGACCCATTTGATGGACCAATCACTCACTTTGCATGCACTAGTAGTGCCAAGAGACCTTCTAACAGACATGGAGCCTAGAAACATGTTGCTCTATGGTAAACATTCAATTATCTACTGTAGTCCACAGTCAATTAAGTTCTGCTCTAATCTCATTCTATCTTCCATCTCACGTAGTCATTAGTCAGACTTAGGAAGGGGCAGCTTCTGCCACGGGTCAGCAGATCAATAGCTATGACACTACCGATTGGTAGAGGGAGAAATTAAATAGAAAGAACAGTAGATTAGAGAAAGACTTGGGATCCAGAATTTCATTTACAACTATAGATGTTCTCCTTCATCTGTTATACAACTATATGGAGGATCATTAGTTAAGAACCCTAAGTCCTTCAACAATAATTATGTTATTAACAACTACTAACAGACTCAACTATTTCCCTCCATTCAACTCTGATGCCTAAGACCCGCACTCCAACGCTTTCAAATTCAAATTATACCACATGAAAAAGCATACCAAGACTAAGTAAATAATCACACCCCTGCCGCTCGACTTTTTCTCTTTGCCAATACTCTGTCGACCAATTTTGAAGACAATGAACCGCCCACACCAAATATATTCACAAAAGAAACTGGTGCTCATGAAGTTTAAACCCAATAAGAAACGTTGATGACAGAAGGCACCCTTAGAAATATAATGTTCGAGAAATTTTTAAGTCTATATCGCCAGGCACTCAGTAGTATATAATGGCAGGCATTTAGGTTATGAAGAAGTATATTCACCTGAACAATCTGAATAGCTAAATAGCTATCACATTACATCAGCAGCAAACATATTTCAAATTTCAACAAGTTAAACGAATCACGTGTAGATAAAAGTAGAAGGAATGATAAAAGCATGAAATAGAGTCCGCAAGAATTTGCAGACCTAAAAAAAAGCCAAAAGAAGCAGAATCTAAATAGCTATTTTTACAGTTATTGAACGTGGGGATTAGTTTGCACAGAGATTAAAGGAGGTCGAAAACAACAGCTGAAAGAGGGTAAGAATTCAGCAGAAGAAATTAAGGCAAGAAGTGGGAACCTAGAGCTCGGCGGAGATTGTGGACGTCACCAGACTGGGAGGCCGTGGCTAGGTCGCGGAGATGAGGAGGCGTATCCGATTCATCAAGCTCCACCAGGCCATTTTCTTCAAAGAGGGCGTTGTCATCTTCGAAGTTGTCGTCGTCGTCGTCGTCAAGACCATTGCGCCTCCCAGGAACCGCCATTCTGGACTGTCGCTGCTTCCGCCGCTCACGAGTTCCCAGCACAACGAGGGCCCTCAGGGCAGCCGCTCCTATTTCGATACCCAGAGTACACGCCACGCAGAATTACGCCCCTAAATCATGCGGTACTAATCATGTGTCGTTTTACGCTGGTTAAAAAAAAAAAAATCTATGTCGTTTTACGCTCCCCCCCCCCGGGCCAAATGTCGCCTGACACATCTAATGATAGGAAAGGCAACTTTTCATCAGACATTAAAACGTGGGAATTGATAACGCAGAGTAATTTTGCTCCAAAAAAAAAAAATAACGCAGAGTAATATTTTAGCGGACAAATTAGAGGACTTGTTAATAATCCTTCTAAGGCTACTAAAAGTTAATGGGTCAAATTATAATTCTCAAAGATAACTGTATCATGATGCGCATATTTTTTAAATGTTTAGATTGATTATTAATTTTATAACTTGTAATACATAAATATTCTCAAGTAATTTAGTTGGTCAAAACCCAAAACAGATATTGGGGCATGTGCATCTAAATTTATATACTAATATCCAAAATTTTAAGTTTTCACAATGAATATCGCTCATTTTTTAATGTAATACATTTTTAGTATTTAAAAATATAATTATTACTTTTTTTAAATTGCTCCTAATGAATATATCATATTATATTTATTTTAGAACGAAATGTCATATTAAATATGTGTAAATATGAAAAAATAATATTAATTTAAAGATAAATAACTACTATATTAAAAATAAAATTTAATTAAAAATACTTTATATTTTTTAACAGTTGGGAATACATTCTATCTTTAATACTAGGCTTTTAAAATAAGGGGAGAATGACATATGAGGATCACACTTTGCATTTTTTTTTTAAATGAGCTAATTATTATACTGTAACTCAATGGACTTTTTTATATTAAAAACCTATACTTTGTGTTCATCAGTCTCATATTTCTACTCTCTCCCACCCACACGCCAGAGAGAATTAAAATTAAAGAATATTGGAAAATAAATATGAGGGGGTCGTTATCCGTGGGAACTTAATTAGAAGCATGAAGCTGCAAGTTCGACACCTAAAAAGCTAATAAAATAGTGGCTGAGGGAGCCTCACAAAATTGCCTTTACCATCAAAATCTGGTACATAATTAATGAATCTTATTCGTTTCTAGTTGGGAAAATATATCAGTTCGTTGGGCCACAAGCAGCATTTGTTAAGAGTTCCTGCAGGGTTACCTCATATTGGTTTCAATATAATGCAGCGTGAAATTCTAACCAAAACCAAATTATATGTTTAACTGGTTCAAAATTGAAGAAAAAAAATTGAAATCATAGGCGATTTAATTACGAGGTGAGACGATAATTGACGCATAGATGTAATAGAGAACAGCACCATTTGGCAGGTAATTTCATTAGCTTTTGGTAATGATTTAGTAGTTCATATGTCCGTGAAACGTAAACAAATTAAATCTTGAATCAGCCCAATTGATAAGGTTTATTTTAAAGTTGGACTCCAAGTTCTTTCAGTTTGGCCGACGTGATTAACTTACTCAGGCTGATTAACTAAGCCTCTGCTTGGTTGGAGAGAAATTGAGAGGAAGAACTCGAATAGGTTTAATTTTTAAAATTGGAAAAACAAGGTTAAAAGACTTTAATTAATTTTCCTTAATCCTTTAATTTACATATTTTTTTATTAAAATTTTATAACCTCATCACCTATCCATTTTTTTTCCAAATCCAAGTCATTAGAAACTCCCATTCCCTATTCCTCTCCAACCAAATAGGTGTAAGCTTGGTTCAAAACCAGCACTTATTACATCATACTTGGCTAAGTTGAAAACCGTAGAATATTTTTTTTTTTTGTTTACCTGTAAAGCCTTATTAAGTTGACTCACATACAAAAAACGGAAAAAGATAGAACATTTGGCTAATTATATTATGCCATAGGTCTCGTGGAAATATATGTACTTGATTGAGAAAACTTTTTCCATAGTTAATTTACCCCAAGTATGTCTAGAAGCAAAACTAACTAATGACAGGCCAGCCAGTTCCCCACGCAACCGCAATTATCAATTGAAAGAGAAAAAAAAGAGGAACGTAATTGTAAATCTATGGTCATAAGCCACAGACCCAGCAAGTATAAACTTCATCGTCGATTCTGTACTGTGGGAATCAAATCAAGCATTAAAGAATGGAAAAAGCCAACAACTGTATACGAGTCGATCAGGTAAAAAATAATAATGTCAATGGTAACAATAATTGATTTCTCTCTTGACGAGGTAAATCAACTAAATGATAGAGGCAGAGAGATGAAGTTCAATAATGGCAATCCACCAAAGAAGATGCAGAGAAAACCAGAACATTTTCTTTAGACTGAAAAGTCAACTTGGCTTCTCTGTGATCATCTTCTGGAGCTGGAAGATTCAAATCCAACTTCAAAACATTTTTGGGTTTGTTGGCTTCCTGGAGTTCAGAATTATTCCCCGTGCTCGTCGTCGTGCACGTCGCAGAATTGTTCACTAAAGTCCTGTGGCGCCTCATGTGACCCCCCAAGGCTTGCCCAGAAGTGAACTCAGCTCCACATATAGAACACTCGTGAACTTTCGACTTATTAGTGTTACTGCCGCCGCTATGCGAAGCCCTATTTGATATCTGCAACGAGAGGACGAAATCTGTGGTGGGACCATAGGGGTCATGACCATCCTCCTTGGCAAAAGTAACTGATGGCAGCTTTTCTTCAGAATTATTGTTTGGCTTCGGTTTCTTGTGGCTGGCTCTGTGTCCACCGAGCGCTTGGAACGAAGGGAAGCATCGATCACAGGTCTTGCACTGATAAAGGTATAGCCCCGAGGAAGCCTTATCGTTGTTATTATTGTTGATGTGGCAAGAGGGCTCAGGTGTATGGCCTTGAGCCAGGAGGATCAAACAGTTGGCCATGTCCTCTTCTTCTGTGCTCACCCTCAATTGATCAGTTGAGGCGGTGGCCATATCTACAACCGATGATGATCCACCTGAATTGTCCTCGGTGCTGGTTCTTCCTGCGCTGGAAGAAGAAGAAGCCACGGATAGCCTGATTGGGGAAGGTAGCCTCGAACGCTTGGTGCGCTTGCCCTTCATGACTTGGGCTTGATCCTTATTCCACACCACAATTTCCTGGCCTGTGACCTCCATGATTATCCTGATCTATTCTTCTTCTTCTTCTTCTGGTGTCGAGTGTGGGTGATGGAAGAAGCAAAGGAAAAGAGTGGGAGTTAATAAATAACCGAATATAGAGATATATATTAATTAATTGGTGGCGTGAACAGTATGAAGCATTGCCAGAGTTGCGTTTCCAACCTTGGAAGTTACATATAAGGAAAACGATACAGGTGTGTAATGAAGAAGAGGGGAGAGAGAGAGATTGAGATGCAATGTTAAGTATGATGAGGCGAGGAAACGAGTGAGATTCGGTTGGCTTTGAAGCAAACCCATTACTTTTTCTCAACGATTCCTTTTCACGGAGGATTGGTTTGCAAGCTTGGAACCACAGAATTTTGCAACTTTCACCCCTCCTCATATACATGCCTTTTGTTTTCTATCACCTTTTGTTTTGCTTTTCTTGCTTGTGTTCCTCTTAATTCTCTTTTCTACCTTTTTGCCTTTCTTCGCTCCTATTGGTAATTCACTGCAATTTTATTTTAAAAGGTTAATTAACAACCTCAGAGTGTTGAGATTTTAAGTTGGAGAGATCCTGGTGACTTGTGATAGGAGATTATCTCGCATTATTAATTAAATTATTAATATCAATTGCTTCCCATGATTTGAAGATGATATATATACCGTGTATAATTTATAAATGGAGTACACTACTAGACACACTTAATCAGGGACTTCATGTGCGGTTGACCCAACCACTTGTGATTATCCTCAGTGGACAATATATACAACCCAATAATCACGCTTAATCATTCGATTATTATGATCTTTTTCAAGATCTCATAACCAATCATTTGGTGTCGGTAAATGCACTACGTAGAGAGTATGACTCTGTCTTCTTATACAACGCAGACCCTAGCTAGCCTATATATACAATTTTCCCAGCATTAACTCGTGGAAATGTGTGAACTGGATCGATCTGTGCAGGCTAGCTTTCACACAAGGAATGGAACTTGGACTATAATGGTCAACTAGTCATTCATAAAATAACAAGTGTATTATAAACAGTACGAAGTAGTAAATTAACACCGTGTGAGACTACTTGTTTCGCGTATATAGACCAAGTTATCAGGCTATTAGGGTTGAGGTTATAAATAATATATAATATAGAAGTAGCAGAAGACATGGAATATGGATGGTGGAGAAGTGCGGTACGTAGCGGGTTTGGTGGTGTAAGGTATAGAGTATGTGAAGGTTAGAGGGGAAGAGAGATTCTTAGCGTAAGGAATTGTATGTGAGGGGTTGTGAGGGGCACGTAACTTGCAACGCCAGCATCAGCTATCTAGGTTTGCTGCGGTTAGTGCCTCAAAGCAAAGCATCTACTTCACTCTCTCTTCTCAATTATTGTGCATTTTATGACTATCATTTAACGCAACAATTCCCTGCACTACCTCTCCACCACCTTCTAATGTATATTTGAATATTATATATATATATATATATATATTCGTCAATCATTATGTAAGAATAATGTTGCTTAAGCTTAGACAAGACACAAAGCGAGTTGGCCGGTGCTTGCACCCTATGTTTTGCACACATAACATGCTTTCCATTATTTTTAGCCTGTGATCATCTACTTTCGCACTTCACATGCAGATGCCACGCACTTGCATACTATTAGTAATTATAATACAGTAACATTTTTATTTTAAACTCAGAATGATGAAAATATATCTGCATGGGAGGAAGATCAAGATGAAGATTTGTTCCATGATTGTGCAAAGGCATGGACAGTCATAGGCGGTGCTACATTAAGTTTGGAGGGGCAGATGCACCCCCTATACTTGGATCAAATTATAATGGAAGGTTAATTGTTTCATTATTTTACACCTCCTGATCCAAATATTTTGCACTCCATAGCTCAACTTTAAAGATATTTGAGTTCCAAAAATTTTTTAAATATGTTCAGCTGAAAGTCAAACAAAATTTACCTCAAAATTTTAAAAGGAAAGGTTAATTGAATTTGCCAAGTTTTATCCATGTGAGTAGTCTTCTTGTGATTTAATGATGCTTGATAATCAACTTCAACTTATATCATTCATATGTGAAGCAATACTTAATTTGCATCATAAAAAGGAATTGGAGTCTTGCAAATAATTGACAAAAATAAGAAGACATATAGTTTATCTCTTAATTTATATTATCTTGAAGTTAGCAATGATATTATCGATTACCACAATAATGATAGAAAGAGCCTTTTTATTATAAAGTTTTTACAGAATTGTATGGAAGATCCACTAATAAATAATTGTTCGGTGACTTATATTAAAAAAAATAGACAATGAAATGATTGCTAAATGATTCCAAAACATAAAGTTATGCAGGGTATAATAGTAAGATATGTGCCTGCTTCTTTAAAAAATTATTAAATTATTTTTAAATTATTAATTTTAAAAATGTTGCACCACCCAAAGCCTTAGAAGCACCACTGTGCACAGTGAATCATAATTCGCGATCAGGTATATAAATGCACAACACACGCACAAATCGAAAGTAGTGGAGCAGGACTAAATTTAACACTTAGGAAGGGATAGTTGTTTCAACAGCAGCGAATAACTTTGGTACGTCATCATGATGTTTGCAGAAGTTATGGAACCCACACACACACACACGCTTTGTCCGTGATCAATTTTAACTTTTTTATATTCATGTCCATGCAAAGTAATTATTAAAGAGAGATGTTGATGAAGGGTTGGATACAGGGACAAAGCGTTGATATATAAAAATATGATTACATATGCACTTTTAGCAAGGTTATGAGGAAGTAGGTTTAGCTTCTGAATTGATTGACAAGGAGAAAACTAGTGGCTATACATACTGCCATCGCTTTCCTCTAGAAGTGAGAAGAGTGAATGAAAAAGCGTGCCGGCGCCATCTAACTGTGTTGCTTAAGGAAGGAGTATGCAGCAGACATACTCACATGAAGCGTGAAAAAACATACTAAATTGTAACCACACTCCAGCAGTTGGGAGCTTTCCTTGAAAAATGCAAAAACTTGTGCAAGCTTGATTATTTGTGAATAGAAAATGGAAGGAGACCAGACCACCAGCTGAGAGAACGTGATAATGGAGCTTTCCTTCTTCACATGACACGACCGTATAGTACTGTTTCTTGTCGGTCCTTAATGTATTCACAGCTTCCGCGCCAACGTGACCATCATCTATCGAAAACAATTTCTTTAGAATCAGAGGTTTGTTCCTTTCTCTTGCAATGATTTTATCAACCTCCACAAATCGAATCCCAATGTCTAGTTTTCCGTAGTTCAACAGACGGACCCCGTCAAATTTGTTATTTATATTTTGTTCGCGTTTTAACTAAATAAATATTTTGTTTGGGGCATTTTCTATCCAGTTTTTTGACCTCCCTTTGCTTTAATCACATCATTTTTCGATATAAAATCTTGCCCTTCAGTATCTTTTACGAAATTTTTTAATGAAATACCTTTGAGATATCATTTCCAAAAATATCCGTCTCTTTCACTACTCTCACCTTAGATTAAGGGTAATTTTAAACAAATTATAAAAAAATTGATATTTAACTAATTTTCTTATTTGTCCCCCCCCCCCTTTTAACTTTGAATGTTTTAGATGTTTGGGAGCTTATTACTCGGAAGTCGGAAGATACGTGTAAAAACAGTAAAACCCCCAAAGGTTTCTAGAATCACGAGGTTCATGAATTGAATAAAGAATTTGGAGAGAAGCGTGAAGTGGATCCAGATAACATTTTTGACCAAAAAACAAAAGAGAGACCCAGATAACGTTATATTCTACTGAAAGTATATAGAACCATACATCCACATTATGGCGTCAGCGATGAGAGGGAAAATTTTAAGAATGGGAGGGCAGCGAACACAGATAGTCCTTCAAGGATAACGACTCTGTGCCAACTCCACCCACGTTTCAGATTTGGTCCATTATTTGTCCCCATTTGTCCCAGCTATGTGAATGAAACACGTGAAACGACACTACCAAATGTCACCCACTAGTTTTAATTCTGTCGATTATTTTTTTTAACATAACATTCTCCATTATTCATCGAAAATTTCAGCCATAACGTAACACTATAGTTATCGTTATTTATTTACCCTATACTGGTGCTCTTGTAGTCATACTCGATGGGTTCTAAAACTTTTATGCTTTTTTTTAATACATAAAACCTTCATGTTTAACATAACTCTTTTTTTTTTTTTTACAAGGGAACACAAATGGATCATTTGGACAGGAAAAATAAAGGGCAGCATGCGCCCCCCCCCCCCCCCAAAATAATAATAAAAGAACTAGGTTGAAAGATTTTACATATAATTTAAAGGAGCGTAAAATACATGGCAGCTTTTTTGTATGATATATGGAAGCAGGAAGCATTTGCGAGAGAATAAATCCACGGGGAGGGCTCTGTTACTAGTGTTTGGGTTTTGAGAATTGAGAAATTAAAATATGAGGTCAAGGATGAGTTCTGAAAACCTTTTTGTTTCTTTTTTGTTTTTGATAAACTTGAGTTCTGAAATCTGGTGATGGTAAGAAAAGGGTCCATGTACAAGACTGAGGGCCCAATTGTTGGCATCATCTGCGCTATTTGACCCAACACTGTATTGGGCTTCAGATCCTAACTACGCTTCTCAATATTGAACGCAAGCCTAGTACTGTGGGTGCAAAGCTCTCCAAGTAGTAATTTTTTAAGTAAACAAATCTTAAACCACTTAAGCCAACTATCATCGATAAAGTGCATACATGTTTGATGATTTCCTCAATTTCAACAACAATTTATCTACTTTCCTTACACCATATCCTCTTCTCATGGCTTGCCATAATCAGAGGCTTCTCGTGGGCTCTTTAACAACGATTTTTGATCTTCAATATTCTCAATTATGACGTGGATCTCTTAATTCTCAGCTATCTCTGTTTCTAGATTTAGTTTCTCTCGCGCCGGCATGGCCTACAAACTTGTATTATTGTAATTTCTATCGTATTATTCACAAGTAAAACTAAATATTTGAAATTTGAAATGTAAAGGGGATAGAGGAACTTATTTACAGTCAAGATAAACTAGGCGGGATCACCAATTCACCATCTCGGTGTATATCTAGTTTCGGTGATCTAAAATGCTTCAAGGCCTGAATATTTCAAATGAGGTGATAGGGAGGAAACCGGCAGTTCGGTTCAAACTTATGTTTCAGAGTGGACGGTACTGGAACCAAATCAGGCATGACATCGAGGAGGCCCACAAATCAGAAGAATATCTCCAGCTGGCAGACCTCGTGCTTCACTGATCCACTTTACGACTCCAGAATTCACTCGCGACCTGACAGCTAG